ATCACGGGATGTTTCATTGTTAGGAAAAACCCCTAGTTGGAGATTGGGAGATATTGGATTAATGGTAGAAGATGTCAGCTGTGGACCTTTGGGAAATGAAGAATTGGATAATTATGATTTATTATATTATATTTTTTCTACATATTATATATTAGATTGTTGTTTTATTTAATGAATAAATTTGGATCGTCTTGTTATGAAATATGGTTTGTTTTATATTATGGAATATGGCTTGTTATATTGTTACCGTCGACAGGATTTATCTAGGGATTAATGTGAAACCACAACGCAAGTAACTATACAGAAGGAGGTGAGATTAAGGGGTGAGTTTAAGGATTTCTATACTTTTATATTTAACTTAAAAAGGTGTAAGATAGAAAGTATGTAATGAGTATTAGGCAGAAATATGGAAATAAGATCAGGAATTTAAGACAGTAATATTTGGTATATTATCTTATGTCTAGATGTGGTACATCCAATTTTGATTATTATTTGATATGCCTTAACCCTTTAGGTTCCCTCATAAAATTAATATGTTGCAACACGATATTTAGTAATTTTTTATTGATTCTAGTATAATATAATATAAAACACACAAAAAAAGTTTTTTATTCAAAATGGCGGCTCTCCCTGGTGGTTTCAAATTCATATCATTGACACCTTATGGAAACTTTCGAAACAGTTTCTATTTTTATTTAGACATAGTGGTACGTTGCATAATTTGCACGACCACCTTGTTCTTCTGGGATTTAACTTTGTACTACAGAAGGTACACCTTCGTGAGGTTCCTGCCTGAGGTTGATGAGCTGAGTTTTTTAGTCTAATTTCTGGAAGGATATAAGCTTTATTATTTTTTCTTTGCATTGATATATAATTATTATCATTATGAATATTATCATCCCTATTAACATTTTTACAGTATGCCAATTCGCTAGCAATTATTTGTCTTCGGAATTCTTTCGATGAGAGTTTATTATCTGTAAGAATATTGTATATTATGAATGAATTGATAATCGCCGCATCTATCAGCCAAAAAAATATTGGTAGTCACCATTTTCGCCACTTTCGCGAAATTTCATATAAAGACTTGAAATGGTCAACAGACCCCATATATTTATTATACATCTTTATCATTATTGGACATTTTACGTCAAATACTTCCCCTTTTTTATTTTTTCTCTTCACAGTATCCACTGATCTCGGATCAATATAATTGGGCATTATAAATACGTCACGATTATCTCGCCATTTAATTATACTTATATTATTTTTGTCACTTCTCCAGTCAAACTCACCTCTTTTTAATTTTGTTTCCATATTCTTTATGGGCAAGTATCTCCTATTTTTGTTTAGTGTTCCGGTAGCATATATACCTTTCTTTTTTAAATCGATCAATTTCAATTTGATAAGGTGTATCCGATTCATAATCATCACTATCAATTTGGTAACGTGTATCCGATTCATAATCATCTTCGGAATCAGTGGATGAGTTGTCTAACGAAGAACCTTCAGATGGAATGTCCAGATAATCATCCATATATATAACAAGCTAAAATTATTGCGAAATGAGTTGGCAAAATTTATCAATTATTTAAAAAAATAAATATTAAAAATATTGTTGTTAAGTGGCAGTGGTTAGTTTAATATACCACATTAAAGAGATCAAAATAATATATAAATATTATTTATTTGAGCAAAAATAAATATTAGAAAGATAGATAAAATAGTGAGGAATATATACATTTAAAAATATTTGATAAATATACTTACTTATAATTAAAATTGGAATTTTAAGAAAAATCACCGTAAAAAACGTATTTTGAAATAAAGGCGCGAAAAAAAAAATTAAAAAATAACTCCTCCACAAACATATGAAAAAGAATATCTTTTAATATATATTCGTGGTGGTTTCATTTTATATGATTAACTCCTTTAGAAGATATAAAGGTTAAAAGGTGGTTTTATATTTGCACTACCGCGACCGAAAGGGTTAAGACTCATTGAATGGTGTTATAGATATTCCGTCATAGGAAGGTAGACCTCATGATCAGCAGGACAGAAAGGATTGCTAAATATTTGAAATTTAGGAAAATATATATGGAAATAGACTTTTGTAATAAAGTATATATTACAATTATGCATTTTGGGTTTTTAAAGGGATGGACATGTGTGGGATCATTTATTATTAATTAATGTTAATATATTGTATTTGTAATTTAGTTTCAATTAAGGTTGATATGTTATTAAAGGATCTATTGAGGGTGAGTTAATGTTGTTTATTTTGAAGTAATTAACCTTTTTTATGAAATAGGTTGTAATGTGAATTACACATATGATATATTTAATGATGAATGATAATAGTTATTTTGATTTAGTGTCTGCATTTAGTATATATATAAATTGGATAGGAATTTATATGATATATCAGATGATGTATAATATTTTTTTTTCCAAATTATGAAATCTTTATATTTAATATATATTTTTTTTTAAATTATAAAATTTTTATTTGCAATTATTATATTATTTTTATGGTATGCAATGATGTGAAGGGAAATTATTTTTACAGATAAGGTCAGCCCATGTTGAGGGGTAGGCTTTGAGGTGAAAATATTGTTTAGTTTGCATACTGGGGAAAGTTTTTTTTTTTGGTGTAAATTTTTTTTGTAAATATGCTGCATAATATATATTTTTTAATCTTTTTAATAATTTTATAACACATCACATTTTACTATTTAATTATGAACATATTTTTTAAAGAAAAGACTCAAATTATTTTATATTGTGAAGGTATATACCATATAGCCCATTATATTCTCAATTTTTGTGAATTTGCATTCTACATTTTTGTGAATTTGTGTTAATTGTGATGGCAGAGTTAGGTAGGAATAGGATATTTTTCTTAAGATACTGAGTAATTCCTAGATGGAAAATATTTTATTTTCTACATATTATATATTTTTCCTCCCTATAAAATATGAAATTTATTTCTATACATAGTATTGTAATTCTATTTAAAATCTTTGTTCGGCAAATTTTCAAAACTATTTTTAATACCTAAAAATGGATTTTTATATCTTATCTATTTTAGGAGATATTTATAAAAATGTAGCTTTGATTTTGTTTACATTACAGAAGGACAATTACATGTGTTAAAATTGCATTTCACACATAGACCATGTGTTCACTGTCATAATTGGGAGACTTTGATTTGTAAAATTTGATTTTTGGTAAAGTCAGTATGTATTGCGTTTGATGAGTCATTTTTATTTTTATAATTTTATGTTTTAGTTAAATTGGTGAGTCATTGTTATTTTTATAATCTTATGTTTTAGTTTAATCGCGTTAACATTTTATTTTTAGATTTATAAAAGTTAATTATTGTAAAGTCATTATGATGATGGGATTTAATTATTTATTTGTGATGATTCTATAAAAGGGAAGCGAAAATTGTAAATTATCAATTCATTTCTTTTTTTGAATTCATTTTTTTAAAATTAATTAATTTATTTTTAACAATTAATTTTTTTCGATTTATAATTATTAACTATTTTATTTTTGTTTTTTAATATATTTTTTTTTTGGTTGTAATAGTATATATAAATTTTGAAATAAAATTATTCATTTTTTTTGTGTGGGAAATTCAATAAAATTATTATACTCGGAGTTTTGCTTTCTATTCGGACTTATACGGCACAACGTAATAGTTATTATAGTATTAAATGCAAAATCATTATTTCCTAATATGAATCATACCCAAATAATGTATATTATAGCTCATAGTTCCCAAATGTCTAAAAATGAATGAATTATTATGTTTTGCCGATATTACATTGTCCATATTTATGTTCCATAGATTATAAATGCAGATACCCCAATGTACATGTTATTATTGATAATATGTGTTTTCGCGATTATATATTGAAATGAATCGGAGATATTATATTATAAATCATCATAAGGGAAGACGATTCGACAAATTCCCTGAACGTCTTCAAGGCGTCTCGATACAATTCAAAAAGGTGATTCGATACAATTCAAAGAGGTTATTCGATACAACACCACCACAGAGAGAGGGACGCTGGGCTTGTGAAGGGTGGGCCTGTTGTAATTGTTGAGAAAAGAAGAAATAAATTTAATATAATACATAAAATGTCAGTTATTTTCTGACAGGGGAATAAAGTTTTCCTTGAGGAAAGAAGGGGAGATGATGATCACGGGGTGTTTCATTGTTAGGAAAAACCCCTAGTTGGAGATTGGGAGATATTGGATTAGTGGTAGAAGATGTCAGCTGTGGACCTTTGGGAAATGAAGAATTGGATAATTATGATTTATTATATTATATTTTTCTACATATTATATATTAGATTGTTGTTGTTTTTAATGAATAAATTTGGGTCGTTTTATTATGATGTATGGTTTGTGTTAGAAACGTATTTTATTTTCCCGTTCCAAGTATAGTTTCTTTGTTTGGGAAGAATTTCCCTTAAAACTAAAATAAAGTTGGTATAATATAAACTTGCATTACTCAAGAGAATCTTAAAAGTTAAATTACTGATTGTTGGTTATTTTAGTTTTTTTGATCAGGAAACCTAAAAATGGGCGAATACATTGCTCATCATTCAGGACTTTACCATGGATTGGGAGTATGACGCAAGATCGTCATTAAAATTGAAGAGGGTAATTTTGATTGATAGGAAGGGGTAGAAAGGTAAGAAGGAATGATCGTGACAACTCGTCATTGGTTTAGAGGGGTGAAGAAGTTCCTTAATTTACAATATAATGAAATCTCCAATTTTCACAATATTGACTCCTTTTTGGAAAACAAAATTATGAAATTGTATTATTATAGTGATTTAAATATTAAGAAATTTTTAAAATATATAAATCTTTTTAAAATAATAATTATGATTAATTTAAAATAAAAAAGGTTATTAATGTTGTCGGGTTCTCCTTTTACTAAAACAAATTCTTTTAACTAATTTAATTTTTCACCGAGGATAAATTTTATATTTGAAATAATACAATCAAATTATTTACAATTTTCTATAAAAAATGACAATAGATTAGTTTATCATAATTTCAATATCTAGCACCGATCATAAGTTAAAGGGAAAATTTTCAATCATAATCATCGAATATTTAGTGATAAATTTTGAAATAGATCGAAGCAGCCAGTACCGGTTTTTATTTCATTACCCATAACAAGACAGGCGGAGGGTGTTTGCAAATAATCCGAGCTACCTACATATTTCATAATTTGTAAACAAAAAATTTTATAAAAAAATAAATAATATTATACAATCCTTTAAAAGAAAAGCCTTCTAAATATTAATATATGATATAAAATATTGAAATGCCAAGTTTATAAATAAAATATTAAGATATAATAAAAATTAGCATATCTTACATAAATAAAACAATCAAATGATCTGCAAAATAAATCTACTGGCTTTAACTAAAATTCATAAGAATGCAACACTATGCATAAAATAAATTTTATTATCGGTAAAAGAATTTGATTAATAAATATAAGGATAAGAAACATTTAAACCTGAAATAAAAGAATCCATGAGAAAAGAAGTAGTGGATTCGAAAGACATTTTAAGAAAAGGAGATGTGTTGTTGGCGAGAGTAAAACGATTGAATGCTTTGTAATGCCCAGAATTCGTCATTTGATCGGCTATTAGTGACAAATGTCGGTAATCAACCTTTATTCCATACACGGAGAAAACGTTTTGAATTTCCTATTATGGAAGAACAAAAAAACCAGTTATTCAAATAGAAGAGTAAGAGCCATCCATATTTATAAAATTTTTAATAACAAATATTTTCTATAAACTTTAAAATATAACAATAGATAATTTTTAACATTGTCCCACCTTTATAATGGCATTTCTACAAGCTTCGATTCCATACACCTCCAAAATTTTGTGCAGGTCATTGCAATAAAGTTTATTAAGGTCTAAAACATTTCCATACTTAAAAATTTCCTAGATTTTTTAATAAAAAAAGATACAATATATATAAAGAATATTATAAGCAAATTGGCTCAATAACATTCAAATTGAAACCAATTCTTTAATAAAAACGATTTTTAAAAATTATTTATAAAGTTAAAGATAAAATGAATATCTACATTAAAATTAATGCCTTCGACGTTTAAAATCAAGGTATCAGGATCAGGTCGAGATATAGAAGATGATGTAACACCAGAAATTTCGTAAATGTATCCATTTTTGCATTCCTTTTCCAATATCGCTTCCATATCAATTTTATTGTCCGATAATGGAACCTAAATTTTTTTTATATAACTAGGTATAATTATTATTCTAATAGTGGAAGAATGAAGTTAATGAAACAAAAGAAACGCGAATTAATATTAACGACGATCTTATAAATAATGTGTTATATAAAAATGTGCAAAATAAAATATCTCCTCAATGTTTTAGCATTTCTTTTTCCCAGTCACTATAGCTGATTTATAATTTAACCTTCTCCCAAGCAGGGTTATCTTTTATTGCTGGTTTGGTTTCACGTATCTTGTTCCTTTTTTCTCTTATTCATGATCTTTCTATTCCAAAATATCGGTATTTGGTCTTCCTAATGACGTATTACTACTTTTTTCGTCGTTCCGCAATGCCAGTATTAGGTTGTTTGCACTAATTTTAGTAGCTCATTTTTTCAATTTCGGGGAATTATTTTTATCCGCCTATTTGTTCTAATTCACTGCATTATTATTTATTTCTTTAGTCTATCCCATACATGTATTTTTTATATTCATTATTATTTTTGTTCTTAGATTTACTTTATCGGATTTTACCGATATTTACATTATTATGGGATATTTTCTTATTCCAAAACCCATTAAATTCTTCTTCTCTTTACTTTATTATTTAATTAATTTTAACAAAAAAATCTTGGTCACTGATGTTACGGACGAAATTTTAAATTCTGGTATAAACGTACTGATTTATTTCACATTTTATATTCATATTTATTGATTTTGCCATAGATAAAATGAGTTCATGCAATTATATTTATTTAATCTAACTTGGATAATATACTTTGCTACCAATAAGTGGAATATAAATTGATAATTTTTCATTAAATTTATGGTCAAACCAATAAAATAAATAAGTAAGATATTCATAAAATTCTTATAAATTACTTGTAGTGTCGCACGGCAAATACTATCGTCAACTTTTTTATCGTAATAATAATTGGTTTGCATTTCACTTGTTTCTTTATTATTCTGAAAAATAAATAGTACATTAGGTTTAAAATTTAAAAGTCAAGCAAGGCATAATACAAAAAAATATTTTTTTAACTATTAATTGCTAATTAATATAATATAAACCCGCTTAAGGCCATTTCCAGACAGAACGTTTTTTTAAAACGGTTTCTGAGGCATGTTTCTAGTAATTTTTTAATATTTCCAAACAATTATAATAATGTTGAATTAATTTTTTATATAATATAAAATTTTTTAAAAATTGGTATTTCATACGCCATTTAATCGTTAATAAAAATGGAAACATGCCTCAAAAACTACTTTGAAAAAACGTTGACTGGAAATGGCTTAACGTTTCTTAACGAAAATATATAAGTTAAAGGTGGGGGGGGGGGTTATAACATTTCTGGAATCGAAAATCAAAAGATATTATAAACGAGTACTACTGTATTTGTTTAAAATATAAATTAAATAAATGAAAATTCAATGCATATTTGTAAAAAAAATAATTAACTTTTTAAAATAATAACCTTAGGAGTTTTGTTAACATTTTTGGACTTGCCACGCTTTTTTATGCTTATATTATTTTTTGTAGAACTATCTTCTTCATGTTCTTCGCTTAGCAAGGGGCAGGAATCAGAAAAGCCGGATGTAGTTGAAGAAGGCATAGACGTCGCCCTGTAATAATCACCTTTAAAGGCGTAGTATAAAAAAAATTCAAATGCAAATTTAGATATAATTAAGGTTTCTTTTTGGGAACACAATTAATCTATAATTAAATATACATTATTTTAAATTTTGACTTTTTAGTGTTATTTAAATATAATACAAAAAAATTGGCATTGCTCTGTGAATTCATAAATAAATAGATTTTAATGCAGAAATTAACACAAAATCAAAACTGACATAAAAATTGAAAATATTTAATCAGTAAATAAAATTTTTAAAAATAATAGTAATATTTACGAATAATTTGAACAAATAAATGTTTATTATTTGTCAATTTTTTAAATATTATTCGCATTCGTACATTTTGAATCGAAAATGGCTAATGAAAAATCTTTCGGTAGGCCTAGACATGAGTTATAAAAAGATAAAATTAATCAATATTTGGCTGAGATCACTGAAAATCTAATTAAATGGAAAAAATACTTGCCCAATTGGAATTTTAAAAATACAAATTAATAAGAATTTTAAAACTGTGCGTATGATTGACTAATCATAATTAATGCAAAAATTCCTAAATTACATTAAAGAAAAAAACGGTTAATTTGGGCAAATACTTTGTCCCTATTTAATAAAATTTGGCCATTATCTTAGCCATTGAATAATTAGTGTATTGTATATATTATTAATGGCGCATATATTTATCTATTAGTTATAAAAATGAAATATAAATCATAATAAAATCTTAGAATTTTTTTTATCATCTTGATTTCAACTTTTACCTTCGTTATTCTGCTCATCAATATCCCCGTCGGAATCCATGGAAGAACCGGTAATGGTAGAGGAACTAGAATTATCAAGAGCGGAAGATAATGTAGATGAATCTGCTTCTGTATCGGGGCTACCATCTTGTTTCTTATTTCGTTTTTGCATATCTTGTTTAGACCCTTTTGCAACTATTTTTTTCCTTCTTTTTTTCTTAACATTATTTCTTTTTGCGCCGGAGATTTCTTGCTCTCCCTGTGTGTCATTCGTCGCTTCCTCGTAATCATTAGGATATTCGGTTTCTGGAAATTATAGAAATAAAAATTATTTAAATTCAAAATAAGAAAAGGAATTAGGAGTGTACCGATACCACTTTTTGAAGGCGGATCCGATATTAAATTGATATCGGCCGATTACCGATCCGATATCATATCTAATAATGTAATCTGAAAAGATACCAATGGTTTTAATTTTTAATATACTTTTTATAAGTATAACATCTATAATTTAACTATACCAAAACATATGTCATTTAAATATATTATAATGATCAGTTATAGTTTATTCAATTCAATTGCAATTTTAAAAGTATATAAAATATTTTTTATTTTCTTTTTAGAAATATAAAAATTTCCAATTTACAGAGGTCAGTCTGCGGCGATAGGGACTGCCAATTTAACTAAAAACAGATTATGAAGAGATTATCGCACACTTTTATAAACAGAATGCGCAAAAAATAACAATATGGCAGAATGTTAATTAATTATTATTATTAAAAAATTAAACATAAAAATGAATTTCTATTTTATTTATAAATAAATGGTTTTTTAGATATAACTTTTTTAAAAATTTTATAATATTTTATTTTTGTTAAAAACGCCATTTTTTATCGGATCGGAAAATTTTATAATATTTGCCGATAACCGATATTTTAAAATGGGTGAAATATCTACTCGATCCGAAAAAAATATCGGTACATCCCTAAAAGGAATTATCAATAATATATTAGTAAATTATTAAATAATGTGTAGTTTATTAAAGTGCTATATAAAAAATTCTTTTATGTAAATACAGCAAAATAATCTTAACATTTAAAGGTAAATAAATATATTGTTTTTAAACAACCATACAAACAATATTTAATTGATCATACATAAAACAAGAAATAAAATTATTACAGAAGTGTTAATTTTTTTTATGAAAATTAAATTATCATCTCACAATTCTCTTAAAAAATAAGTTACCTAACTATAATTGTGAAATATACCAACAACCCCATATCGGCAACATAATTCACCTACATTTAATTATAATCGAAATCCCTTGCAATAATAACCCAACTACCCAGAATCTGTCAAAGTAATCTACCCAACGCAGATCTATCAGAAACAACACATTGCAACAATCTATCCTAATCTAGATCTCTATTCATTGCTCAATGCCTGCCTTGCCTAAGTAATCGATACATATAAGGAAGTAAATATACTGAGTGAACTTCTTAAACTTCTTATTGCTGTCTCCCCAAATTGGCAACAAAAATCAGCCCAATCCTCCCCTAATTGAAGTGTCTATTATAACTCAACTTATAGACCACATATCTGAGAAGATCTATTTGTTTTAACTCCTCTATATCAATAAAAATTCAATAAACCAAAGAACACTCACAAAATCATATTCCAATTTTATGGATCTAATTAATTCTAATATTCAACCTACTAATGAATACAATGACATTTTTTCCAATTGAACATCCTACATAAATACCAACACCAACATTTACAATATTTACAACACCAATAATGCTTTTAGTTCATCAATTAACAAATGTTATATCCATGATTTTATTCCATGACTTGCTTAAAAATAGGAATTGAAGCACTGCCATTCTCCTTTTATACAACAGAAGTTTCCTGCACATTTATACATTACATATTTTATCTTTCATTTTTTTCTCTTAAAACTTACTTTTTAAACTTAATTATTAACACATCAACATTAACTTTCCAAAAATTTAACATTTAAATTACACATTTTCCTTATATATATATTACACATTACAAATTTTCTACTTACTTGCATATATTTCTTTTTGAACAAATACAACAGATGTTTCCTGCACATTTATACATTACATATTTTATTTTTTATTTTTTCTCTTGAACTTACTTTTTAAACTTAATTATTAACACATCAACATTAACTTTCCAAAAATTCAACATTTAAATTACACATTTTCCTTATATATATATTACACATTACAAATTCTCTACTTACTTGCATATATTTCTTTTTGAACAAATACAACAGAAGTTTCCTGCACATTTATACATTACATATTTTATTTTTTTCTCTTAAACTTACTTTTTAAACTTAATTATTAACACATCAACGTTAACTTTCCAAAAATTCAACATTTAAATTACACATTTTCCTTATATATATATTACACATTACAAATTCTCTACTTACTTGCATATATTTCTTTTTGAACAAATACAACAGAAGTTTCCTGCACATTTATACATTACATATTTTATTTTTTTCTCTTAAACTTACTTTTTAAACTAATTATTAACACATCAACATTAACTTTCCAAAAATTCAACATTTAAATTACACATTTTCCTTATATATATATTACACATTACAAATTCTCTACTTACTTGCATATATTTCTTTTTGAACAATAAATTATTATTTTCTTTTTACAATACTTCTGTATTGTAATTTTTTCCTCTTTTTTAAAACTTTTTTTTTTTTTCAACACTCCAAAATTCAAACCTTCCTATACATCTATAATTTTACTCAATTCTTTTTTAACATTTTTCTTTTACACTTGAAAACTCAAATCTCTTTATACATCTTTAATTTTACTCATACCTAAAAATACACCCAACTATAATTTCTTTTTTTTAAAAATATATATTCCTCAGTCTTTTAACCTTTATTTTCCCTACCCATTATATTTCACAAAGCAAATAATCAACATCACATACCAACTATTCCCTAAAATTCTTATGCCCATCTCCTTCCATATGGAAAAATCTTGGTTTTACAATCTCATTATTCTCTATAGATCATTTCTCCTTACTCTCCATCACATCTGCATTCATTGTACAAAATAATTTGACATTTCTCTCACTGATAAGTTCTTTCACTCAATTCATAGCCTCTCCTTTAGTCACACAATGGAACGCTGCCCCACGTGTTCCAAAAACATAAAAATCACCAAATCCGGCCTTTTCACCAAGCACAAATCCAAAGGCTGTGCTTGTCCTGAGTCTGGAAAGCGTCCTTCCCCTCCCTTCCAAAATCCCCTCTCCATTTTTTCTACTCACAGTTATACTTCCACCTCATCCAATAACGCCCACATACCAACCACATCAGACACATTCATTTCCCTCCACCTACCACTCACGTCGACATCATTAACTTTCTAAAGTCCGACAAACCTCCCATTATTTCTAGAATTCCCAAAGGCTCTAGAATACAAGTAGCCAAAGCTCTCTCTACCTGTCTTCATTCACTATTAAATAACTTTTCCTCTCTAGATCATTGGCTCAAACTTTTTTCATTTTCTTTCACGACTCTCCAACCTCCCAATCCTGAGATTCACAAATCTTTAACCCAACAAATTAAAGACGCAACCATACACCCCCTCACCCTCACATCCACCTTTTCTCCTCATAATTCTAAAAACTTTCCAGCCTCCAATTAAAGGCTAAGATAATTTCTAATAAAATAAACAATCTAAACATCAAATCTGCTCTCCGCTTACTAGCATCTGACGACTCAATTGCAACCAGTAATGAGGAGAGCTACAACAAACTTAAACTTAAGCACCCTTCTGGAGGTGACCTCATACCTTCTCCTCCGCCCAACATATTTCCCACTAATTTTACCCCCGTCGAGGTGCGCAAAAGTATCCTATCCTTTCATCACGACTCCTCGCCCGGGTACGATGGGCTTCGCCCCATATTCCTCCAGGACCTTACATCCCCCCTCATAGTTAGCCAGGTCCCTATTTTACAGAATCTAACAACATTCTGCAACAAAATAGCACATGGACCTGTTCCCGAATCCATCAGGCCACTCCTGTTCGGCGCTAAATTAATCGCACTCGAAAAGCCGAACAAGGACATCCGGCCGATAGCAATCGGGACCGTATTCCGTCGTCTCGTTGCTAAACTCATAGCTTCCAAAATTAAGGACAACGCAGCCTTAATTTTAGCACCCCATCAACTCGGTATTGGCATCCAGGGCGGTTGCGAAATAGCCACACACGCTACTCGCATCCATCTCCAAACCAACCCTAGTGACGAAATCCTCGTCAAAATTGATTTCTCTAACGCCTTCAACTCCATTCGCCGTTCCCACTTTCTTCCACAAATATACCACTCATTTCCCACCTTCTCCCAATTTTTCCACTCCTGCTATTCCAAGCCATCTCATCTCCAATTCAACAACTACATACTTTCATCATCTGAAGGGATCCAGCAAGGCGATCCTCTAGGCTCGATACTTTTCTGCATAGGAATCAACGAAATGGTCAAAAACATTTCTACCAACTGCAATCTTCCACTCCACACTTGGTACATCGACGACGGAATATTCTGCGGCTCCCCTCACGAGGTCGCCAAGGCCCTCGCCATCATTAATACACATTCCGCCAAAATTGGACTTTCACTTAACGAACAAAAAACCGAGATCTGTCCACTTCATTGTTCCATCCCATTCACCCATAACTTCCTTACAACCGAGCTATCATCCCTCACTCATCTCGGCTCACCTGTCGGTGGCTTGCAATCCATTAATCACTTCTTCTCTAACGCATCATCTAGCTTACTTCATTTCAAAAACATCTCTAAATTTCTCCCTCGCCATCAAGCTTTTTTTCTCCTCAAAAACTTTTACTACATTCCTAAAATTCTTTACGCTCTTCGATCCACCTCAATCTTTAAATTTCCCGACTCACTAAAATCATTTGAAACTTCCAATCTCTTGCCGAAGAGATCCTTAATCTTCGCTTCAACCATAATTCATGGCTACAAGCATCACTTCCATGCAAGCTCGGGGGCATCGGCTTACGCTCACCTCTAACTCTTTCCATCAGTGGATTCATCGCCTCCCGCCTCTCATCTGACTCAAACATTAGCCAGCTTTCTCACTTTCCTGACCCATTATTAGCTGAAGCCCAGACCATTTGGGACAATTCCGTTGTCCCAAACACTCCTCGACCCTCCTCCTGTTTACAGAGACTGGGATACTCCACTCAACGAAGGCTCCGTCGCTTACCTAAAATCGAGCCTTCATGACGACGATCTCACAGTCTTTCACCAATTAAACCAAGGATCGGGTTACGAGTTTCTGGAAACTATACGCTCCAACAACCTCGACTTGTTGCTGACCGCTAACGAGCTAAGATTTACCATTGGATTACGGCTCAATTGCGAAATTGTTCTACCGTACCAATGCAAACATTGCGAAACCAGCGTCGATCGCAAGGGCAGACATTGCGTCCATTACCGAGGCCGTTTTCCACGGCACACCAATTGTAATGACATCATATTGCGCGCTCTCAAATCCGCAGGCATTCCATCAAGACTTGAACCGACCGGCATTTTTAGATCCGACGGAAAACGTCCTGATGGAATGTCCTTGATTCCTTGGTCAAGGGGCCAGCTACTAGTCTGGGACTTCACCTGCATTGACCCAAATGCACCATCCAACCACAACGTCGATGCCCTCGCTCTAGCAGAAACTCGTAAAACTATCAAATATAGTTCCATAGACCCCTCTTTCTTATTCATACCTATCGCCTGCTCTACTCTTACCATCTTCGGTAGCAAAGCTCTAAGTTTTTTTAAAGAATTAGGCAAACGGATTCGGGAAAAAACCGATCAGCCTAAAGAGTCCCTTTTCTTACGACAGAGACTTGCTACCGCCATCATTCGCTCTAACTACCTAAGTTTCATCTCTTCCATTGAATAATCTCCTATGTCTATGCTCTCTCTCTCTCTCCCTTCTCTTTCCTAGTTTCCATTCTTTTATCCCTTACCCTCTTTCGCAAATTATATTTTTTTTACCTTTATTAATTTTACCATATAAAAAAATTTATAATTTGCTATAAACTTTTGATAACATATTATATCAGCAACTATTGAAATAAAGAGAGAATTTACCCGTCAAAATATGATGGAAGGAAAAAGAAAGGTTTAATAATTTAAGAAATAATTTAAAAAAAATATTCATTAGGTTGCTTTTAAAAATTTAGAATTTAATATTTTGCCTGGTAATTAAGGACTCATTTTTGTTTAGAATTGTTTAAAAATTTTCCAGAGACGGAGGAGTCAAATTTCCAAAAAACACTAAAATAAATCGGAGAGATAATATAAAATTGAAAGCTGTGTCTAAAATCGAATTTACAAACTTTCAAAATTTATATGAAAATAAATAATTTAAAAATTTAACATACGATTTCAATAAAATTTGTGAATGTTTTGAAACTTAAAAATGGTTATGGACATAGCCTAAATTTTTTTTTTTATGAAAACTTATTTTAGAGATTTCAAGTATGTTTTTAAAAAATACATAAAAAATATAAGATTTTTTTAGTCTGCATTTACAAAAATTATTTTTTTATTAAAGACTTAAATTTGAATGAAGCTTGTAAGAAAAATTTATTTTCTATGTTTTTCCTTAATAATAAATGTTCGAAACATATTTTAAAAGTAAGATATAGAAAAAGAATTAACGACGCTTTCTTTATTTTTAATATCTGTTATATGATGGTTATTATTGGAAAGTAAAGATATTAGGCATTAAATAAACAGTATGTTGGAGCTTAAAATTTTAATTTTAAAAGCTTTCTTTATTTCCTTCCATTCTTATCTGTTTGCAAAAGAATGATTTTTCTACATATAATGCTAATAGGCGAAATAAAAAAATATAGGATTAATTATTATAATATCTATGCCGATAATATCAGATCGGCACCGATACTCGGCGTTTTCAAAAATATCGGATATGGCCGATATTTTTTTTATTGTTTTTGGTTATTTTATATTTCTATGTATAATTGTATAATTTTTTTAATTTTATAAATAATTTCATTAATAAATTAATGAGAGGAACTAAAATACAATTTATTTGTTGTAATGTTTAAAAAAAAAAGTTTTCTACACTATTTTTTATTATATAGTATCTGCAACAAGTAAAGGATATTAAAATATCTAAAGAGTTACATTCAGCTATCCAATTTTTAATAATGGAACTCAAGATTTTGGCCAAAGTAAATTAATCAAGCTTATTTATTTTGCCCACATATATCAAGAAGGTTTGGACTTCTATTGGCGAAATTTCGAGGCTTATTAAAATCTCTAATTAGTCCCTTTTATTAATCAGCTAAATGGAGCTGTTTAACAACACACATTCATCCATAAACAATGCAAATATTTCTAATAACATCATTAATTTTTAGAGAATATAAAATACAGTTAATCATTCATGAAAGTTGGTTGGTTTATTTATAATAGAAAATATTGATATTTTATGCCATTGGTTAAAGATAGATGGTAAATAAAACTCAATCGAAATATCGGATCGGTAAAAAAATTGTGGATAGGTCCGACTCTAGTTAAAATTGAAGGAATCGACCCAATTGATACCAAAATATCGGTATTAGTGTATCTCAGATTTATTTATTATACTTATATGTTCCTCTTCGGTAGACCTACCAATTTGATCTTTGTCCTCTTCCCCACTTTCCTCATCTGATGACGAGGTAATCGAACTTTCACGCTTTATTTTATTTTCTTCCATTTCATTTGTTCCATCTTCGTTTGTATCTCCTTGGTCCTTAGAATCATCGGGCTGTGAAAGGAGAGATGTGAAAGTCCTAAATTTCTTGTGACTTTCGAATAATCTAAATGTAAAAAAATATCAATTATTTTTTTTACAAATATATTGAAAAAATAAATAAAAGAAATTGAATGAATTGTTTTGGGAATCAAAAATTATAAATAAGAAATACTTTCTAATTCCTACAAACTTGGTTTCATCATTTAAAAGAAATGAAGGTAAAACTGTTAAAACTAAAACATTGAAATATCATTTTTGAATAGGCCAATCAAAAATATACGAGTAATATAAAAAAATTAGTAAATATTTGAATTATTCGTAAATATTTTAATAAAATTTAGATGATAAATTAGGCCGGCCACATTGTCAATTATCAATTTTTTTTCATAGTGACCGGATTTAATTTCCAATACTATATTAAAATATATGTAAATTATTATCTACTTATAATTTATTTCAATATTCGATTCGACTTTTTGAAGCTTATTTTTGAATGATCAAAATAAATTTAATAATCATACTTGATATTGTTGAGCAGCCCATTTTCTTTATTGATAGCCCTAACAAGTCTACTCAATAAACGACTTTCTATTTGTGAAGCAACATGACTACATAACTTTTTTCTCATTTTTTTACCTCCCTTTAAAGGTAAAATTTTGCTCAAATAGGAAATAGGTAACAATCGGAAAGTTATTTCGTAGATCCAAAAAACTTTCCTATAAAGATATTTTTTTAAAAAAATTAAGTAAATAAGATTGGAAAAAAGAAAACGGGATTATACTGATAATTTATAACAAAAAAATTTTTTAAATTAATAAATTTTATATAAATGATTGATATTGTCATAAAAAAATTAAAATTGTGTAAAATCTTGAATATTATATATTTTACTTGCGATTTTTGGAATCATAAGTTGTAGTAATAGATTCGTTAACTTCTATATTTTCTAAAACCTATCACAGTATTTATTAAATGTAAAAAAATAATATTTATAATGAGTTTTAATGTATATATAATATTTGCTTAGCCGTGAGGTATTTAATTTGGGCATATTAAAAAAATTTGTTTTATTTGAGCAAAACATATCATTGAGCTGCTCGTAAATCAAGAAAAGTGTCCCTTTAAAACGCCTAAATAATAAGAGCGAAAGATGCCACTGATTTTTTCATTTTTCAAAATTGTTAAGAGTATTTAAAAAAATGAAATTTATTGTATTTTAGCATTTTTACTGTGGATATATAAGAATATAGTACTGAAGAATTCATTTATTATAAAATAACATTTTGCAAAAACATGGATATAGAACTATAATACTCAACCGATGATATCTCAAATAGGTTATATCAATATTATATTATCTGCTTGTGATTTTATTTTATGTGCGTATATTTACAAAAAAAGTTTTTATAAACTCGAATCGAACGTTCTTAAATGATAAAAATCAGAAACCTGCAGGTTAGGCCCAGGTTTCAGGGCAGGGCCGTATTTTAAAATATACCCGGGCCGGGCCTTAAAATTTTTTAAAAAATTTATACAACATGAATTATTATATTCGTCAATTAGATATGGTTATAATGATTATATATAGTTATGATTAATATAAAGTATATTCTCAAAATATTATTTACACAAATTTATAGTATCAATTTGTAATATACTAAATATCTGTTTAAAATAAAAAAAAAATATGAAATGTAATAAACGGCTAACACAGTATTTTATCCAGAAAAATATTAAGCAAGCCTAAAAATTTAGTTCATATATCCGTTAAAATCGGCTCAAAACGAGCCGTTTAACAACATTAATATGCTTGCTTATTAAATGATAATACTCGCTGAAAAATATGATAAAATATCGAATAAGTGAATTTTAATATAATTTTAAAAAATTCCGAACCGGGCCTAAAAAATTCGGGCCGGGCCCCCAATTTTTTTTTTAAAAATATCAGGGCCTAAATTTTTAAACTCGGGCCGGGCCGAGCCGTAAAACATTTTTGAAAAAAAAATCGGGCCGGGCCGTGCAAATGATACCTCTGCAAATTGCTGATAAAATATTAAACATGTAAACAAGTAATATCTATTGTTTTATTTTGATTAACTCTAATAAATTATTCAAGAAAAAAATTATGCATCATAGATTCAAAATTTTAAAAATAATTATGCTCCAGAACCAGAAAGTATCAGATTCTATAGAAGTGGAATGGAACATTATTTAATATATTATCTTCAATAATTATAATAATCAAGATGGAACATTTTTAATTTTGAAAGATCTAGAATAAAACAAAAACAACAATATAAAAACTTACCTCACTAAAAGCTACTCTACTAAATACCAATTTCAATTCTTCCCCCCTTTCCTCCTCCAGCGACAAGGTAGAATTTTCATTTGTCATTTTTAAGGGCGTCGACATTACTGGTGTTTTTAAGTCTCGTGTTGCAGTCATAAGAATTTCTCTAAGCCTGGGAATACCCAAGGTTACATTCATTTCACCCCGTCCGGCAAAATGGAATGTGTTAAGAGTCATTTGGGTAGATGGTTCACCCACGCTCTGTTGTTTAATATTTTACATTAAAGTATTTACTTTAAATTGATTAATAAAGGTGATAAAATTATGGTCATCGAATTTTCTCAAAAAATAAAAATAAGGTGCAGTAAATAATACGGCTGTGCCGATCCATATATTTTTCACCGATTCGATCCGATATTTTCCGTTGCTTCAAAACCGATCCGATACTTATACTGATTATTTATCACACCCCCCCCCCCCCATTGAATCAAATGTAATTAAGAAATCAATATTTTTTATGCAAAAAATTGAATTATGCATTTAATTTTTTTATTTCTACAATTAAGACCAATTAAAAAATATATATTTAATAATATATCTATTTTATGTTGGTATGAATTATAAATTGTAATATTTAATTATAAAATTATAATATATTAGATTTTTTAAAATAAATATGAGAGCCTCTGATTTTCTTGCAATAAGCTTCGAGATATGGTATCTATATCAGAGACCTTCATCGTTAATTTTTTGACCAAGCGGCTCATATCAAATGTTAAAAAAATTCCCAAGTCCGGTCCAAGCCCATGATAAGTTAAAAAAATTTCCCAAACCCGGCCCAAGCCCATATCTAAAAATTTAATTTTTTTTATTTAATGAAAATAAACAATATTTAAATATATTTAGGCAATCATTTTGTTTACAATACTAAAATTTATTATTATTAGAAGGATAAAAGGCAATATTTCTTTAAATTAACAACACTTTTAAATAATATAATTTTAAATTTAATAATTTTAGGCCCTAGCCCAGCCCATTAAAATTTTATTTTTTAAATCCAGGCCTGGCCCAGGCCCACTAAAAATATAGTATGGGCCGGGTATGGACTTACGGGCCGGCCCATGAAGGTCTCTGATGTATATTTCCTGCCGTACTCAAGGCAGACTCAGATGATTCCGCTGATAACGCATTTTGCTAAATTATCTTTGTCATTTGTAAAATATTTTCATAATTCAGATACCATATTTAAAATAAATAAAACTTTGGGCGTTCCTTTCTATTTTTATAAAAAAAACTTTTAAAATAATATAAATCTATTTTAAAAAAGAAATAAAATTTAGAGGGTGTTGTGCATTTGCATTGTTTAAAAAAAAATTATTTAGAAAATATTAAATAAATATACATAACATAAAATAACAAAAAAAAGAAAATTAAAAAGATCGGATTGAGTTTTTACAGATATCTAGGGCTGTGCCGATACACATATTTTTCACCGATCCGATCCGATATTGCTTCAAAACCGATCGGATACCGATCCGATATTTTTACTGATTTTTAATCATCCCTGTTTGAACCAAATGTAAAGAAATCAATATTTTTTATGCAAAAAATCGAATTATGAATTTAATTTTTTTATTTCTACAATTAAGACTATAATAAAAAAAAAAAAATATATCCATTTGTTGGTATGAATTATAAAATTTAATATATAAAATTATAATATATTAGATTTTTTTAATAAATATGAGAGCCTCTAGATTTTCTGGGAATAAGCTTCTACGATATCGACTATCTATATCTCTGACCGTACTGAAGGCAGATTCAGATAATTCCACAGATAACGCATTTTGCAAAATTATCTTTGTCCTTTGTAAAATATTTTCATAATTCAGATACCATATTTAAAATAAATAAAACTTTTGGTGTTCCTTTCTATTTTTATAAAATAAAACTTTTAAAATATCACCTATCCAGCAGCTGTTAAGCTCTATCAAGAATCTTTCAATATAAAGTAAACTTTAATCATAAATATATATATAAATAAAATGAACCATGGTTATATGTCCTACTTGCAATAACAATGTATCTCTAATAAAAGGAAATAAAATTATTTGTCATGGTAAACGTGGTAACAGATGCCCTTCATCAGGAACTTTCTTTAACAACAATGAACCTATCATCCCTCCATCTTCTTAACCTGCTTTTATTAATAATATTAATTTGGAACCAATACCTACATCTTCAAGTTCCCACAATACTTTCACAGAAACAATTCCTACATCTTCATGCCCAGATAATAACATTAATTCAACATCTATTGTTGAGGCTCAAGAATGGTTAGAAAAATTTATGAAGGAAAGTCTCCCACCTACAATAGCTCGCATTCCAAAAGGTGCTCGAATTTTATTCTCTCAAAATTTAGCCACATTAACCTCCCTAAATAAAAATATCAAAAGCTTAGATAATTGGATAAAACTATTATCACTTATATATTTAAATCTACATCTTCCAACTTCAAAATCAAATTTAACACAAAACATCAAAAAAACATTAAATTCTAATGACACAAGTTATTTTGATATACCTAAACAACCCCCTCATTCTTTTAATAACCTTTTGACAGATAAGAAAAAGGCCAAGCTTATTGAAAATAAAATTAACTTATGCAATGTAAATTCAGCTATCAACATAGCTTGTTTCAGTGATACTATGGCCCCCAATAATGATAAAACTTTCATGGCCTTGCAATCTAAACATCCTCAAGATTTTTCACAAATTATCCTTCCACCATCCAATAATCCCATTCCACTAACTGAGAAGGAGATCTTGGATGCAATCATGTCATTCAAAAAATATTCTAGGGTCATTGTTCCGACGTATAATTTCCAAAATTATTTGCTCCCGTATAAAATCTAACCTATCCAACTTACTACAACCAAACCAGCTTGGTTTTAATGTTCCTGGAGGATGTGAGGCGACATCCCACTCGACACGTGTCATTCTCCACAATACAGATCAATGCATCCTTAAAATAGACCTCAAAAATGCCTTCAATTCACTATTAATGGAACATTTTATACCCTCTTTTTGTGAAATATTCCCAGATTATTCAACGTACATTTCTGCATGTTACAACCAATCCACCTTTTTAAAATTTAATGATTCTATCATTCTATCTAAACAAGGTATCCAACAAGGAGATCCTTTAGGTCCAGCATTATTCTGTCAAGGTATCCAATTAATCATAAAGGAAATTTCTTCCAATTGTGACCTTAAACTAAATGTTTGGTACCTGGATGACGGCACTGTAGCTGGCCCATATAACGAAATTATAAAAATTCCAAGAATTATAAATGGCTTAGCCCCTCTTACAGGGCTGTTACTAAACCCAAATAAATGTGAATTTTATTCACCTCTTGAATCAGACTGCCCTCCTAAAAATTTTATCACAGTAAACAAAGCTAGCTTTACCCATCTAGGTTCACCCATTGGAGGAGAAAATGCAAAATTTCATTTCAGAGATGAATTCCTTGTCAAATTCAATAGAATGACAAATATTTTAAAACATTTACCTGCCCATCAGGCTTTTTATTTGCTTAAAAATTTTTATTCATCCCAAAAATTTTACATACCTTCCATTCATCGACAATCTTCACATCCCCTGAAATACTATTGGACCTCGAAGTCCATTTAAAAATTACCCTAGAATCCATTTTAAACATTAAATTCACATCACTCTCCTGGATGCAAGCTGCCCTTCCACCAAAGCTAGGAGGTATAGGCATCCAATCCCCCATCTCCTTGAGCATCTCAGCCTTCCTATCCTTAGTTGCTAAATTTCGTCATACACTAGGAGACTTGGATACTATCGACCCACATCACACGATAGCATTAGATCTATGGAAAAAAAACGCCCCAAACGGCTCACATCCCAATTCTATAAGACAAAGAGACTGGAATTTGCCATTGATACAGCATTGCGTCGATTACTTACACTTCAAAGCTGTTCAAAGTAAATCTCCATCTCTTTTTCTCCACCCAAGCTCAACCCCATGCATACTCGATGTCCATAATACGACCCTTTTATCAGATCAAATAAATCCAGCTCCACCCATATGCCATCTTGGATATGAATGGTTAGAAACTATCCCTAGCTCTAATCTAGGCCTACTACTTACCAACGAAGAACTCAGAATAGCTATAGGCCTTCGATTAGGCTGCGGTATCGTAACCCCTACGACTTGTGTCCTATGTGAATCTCACATTGATAGTCTAGGACACCACCCCCTACACTGTCGTTTCTCAAAAGGCAGACTTCCTAGACATTATGCCATTAATTCAATAATCAATAGAACGCTGAGATCTACAAATACTCCCTCCACACTGGAACCTACCGGTCTTAGCTCCGATAATCAAACCAGACCTGATGGTTTGACGTTAGTCCCTTGGAACCAAGGTTTACCTCTCGCTTGGGACTATACCTGCGTTGATCGTTTTGCCAGATCTTTTTCTGCCAACTCCATCTCAAAAGCGGAGAATACAAAAACAAATAAATATTGCCACCTTAATAATATTTTATTCGCTCCGGTAGTCTCAGACACCTGTGGATCATTCGGACCCCAAGCCTTAAAATTATTCAAAACAATAGGGCAAAGGTTACGATTAATCACAGGTGATCCGAAAGAAGGTTTCTACCTCCGCCAAAGGATTTCAATCGAAATCTGCCGTTCAAACTGTATATCCATTCATGGGTCATTAAGCCCCGTGGACCACACCTAATTAGATATCCCTCTTTTTTTTTAAAATAATTTTTTAATTTTTTTTTCTCTTAATTTCCTCTTTTAATTATATGTTTTTATATAGATTTTTTTGTTTTTAATATATATTTTTAATTCAATAGTGTATATAAATGTTCATGTTCATGTTTTAATTTTTTTACCGAGTTTACCTAATCCTAAAAAAAAAAATCTATTTTAAAAAAGAAATAAAATTTAAAAAAATTATTTAGAAAATATTATAATAATGTAAAATAAATATAAATAAAATAATAAAAAGATCGGATCTTTACAGGTATCGACCCGATCCGATATTTTCGGAAAACGCTAAATATCGGCACAGCCCTACAGATATCGATCTGATATTTTTGGAAAACTCTAAATATTGGTGCCGATTCGATCCGATATTTAATATCGGCACAGCCCTAGTAAATAATAGGGGTTAGGTTCTGCTTGAATAGATATAAGCTCTTTTTCTTTATAAAATTTCATCTCAAAAGATAATAACTCGTATATTTATTAAGAAAATTTTCACATATTGCATTAAGCATTGCTGATATCCTATTTCCTTAAAAAATTTTTGCAAACTTACTAATAACAATTCTCATCTTATAAAAAATGAATATAAAAAAAGATTTCAAATAAATTGTAATAAAACAAAGTTTAACTTGAGCCGCCAACAAACCTACAGCCTCGCCAGGCGAAACCAATGATTGCGCATTTTTGAATCGCAAAATTTTTTTGATATCTTTAAAATTGGGTGGAAAATCACTTGATGGATATTCATTATGACAATTATTAGATTCATAGATATTCTTATGGCCCTTAGTAATCGACTGATGAGAACTATAATTCTTTTTTATGAAATTTTGTAGGTTTTCAGACATTTCACCATTGAAAGATTTCAAACTTTTTTCAAATAGAGTATAAAATTTAATACTAAAAATCAACAATTACAAATAAACCAGTTTTAAAACAAAATGAAATACTAATTAAGCAATAGCTACAAAAATTTTATCCATCTATTTAATCTGAGTTTATTAATTAACATAAAAGCTAAAAGTTTCATTTTAAGATAATCAATAAATTTTTTTACCGTAATGCATAAAATTATAAAGTTAAATATAACACCTTTTATATAACGACTTTTTATGTTTGAACATGAAATTGGAAGAAGAATGATTGGCTAAAAGAAAATCCACTTGAGATTTATTTTTTAGATATTGACATTTTGTAACTTCGAGCCCATCTTCGCCATACAAAAACTAAATTTTATAGATATATTTATTTCTCATTTATATATAAAGAAAAAATAAGTAATATTTTTTTTACATAAATAAAATTATATAAAAGCACAAAATTTTTCACTTATATCTTAGTTTTTTTTAGAAAAATGCTGGAGGAAAACCTGAATAATAGAATTGTCGGAGTCTCTAACGGTAGAGTCATAACACACTTTAATTCCTTCCAAATGTTTGATCAGACATCTTTGTAAATAACCGGAATGACTAGTTTTAACTGCTGTATCAATGAGCCCCTTTCAAAATTATTTTTTTCATAATGATTAAGATCAGGATTCCTTAAACTTATTACAGTTTACGGCTCAGAGGCTTAAAATTAAAAGTACGTTGGTAACTTTTGCAAAGGTTCCCCAGGTTTTAAGATATTACAATAAATTTAAAAAATAAATGAAGGGTTAGTGTGTATATGATTTGATTTAGTTTAAAAAAAAGAAATGTCGGACTTTGTAACACCTCAGAAGAAAATGAAGATTTCGCAACTTTTATAAAAAAATGATTTAAGCAATAACCATTAATATACCTAAAAGGGTTTAAACTGGACTATAAAAGTCGTTCACGACAATTATAAAAGTTTGGTTCACTTCAGGTTCTTTGCTTAAGAATGTAAAATGATGGAAAAAAAAGTGACATTGCTTTGGTTTAAAAAATAACAACATTTCGCATATTAGCAAAAAAAATGTGTAACATGTCAATTATAAGAACAAAATATGTTAATGAGTTAAAAAATGAAACAAATTCGTTGCAATTGTAAAATAAATTGAATTAAATTAACGATTGAAAGATAAAAATATCATTAACCTCCCTTCCAGCCATGCAATGGAAAAAGTAGTCCTGAGGTTTGAGTCCCGTCAAAAATCTGTAAGCCACAAAGCCCCTCGTTTTTGGATTTGGATCAAAGCTTGAGAAAGAAGGTAGAGAACGACCGGTTATAAGCACGGGTGGCCGCTTTCCTTCAAGCTCTATTTGACCGAGAGTGGAACATATTTGAACGCAATTTACCTTTGTTTTTTTAAATATATTTTTAAAAAAAATATTTACTTACTAACTATTTATTATACAAAATTGAATTTTAAAAGGTGATTTCTTTTCACTTGGTAAATAAGGAACAAAAAAAATATAATTACTTTGTTTCTTGCTTTTGGTATATTTTAAATCTTATAAACCAACGAATAAATAAAATTATCATAACAATAAAGGAGGGTAAATTGTGTATTTCGTGGCATATTATTAATTAATAAATTTCATTACAAGTGTTCCTTTGGCACCGGAATTGACCATCAATAAAAGATTATTGCAAGGAAATGATTTGATAAGCCCATTACCCATGATGTGTCTTAAATAGAGATAATTTTTTAATTGAAGATAATTTTACGCCATAATAAAAATCATTAAAAACTTTTTTTTATTACAGTTAATGCGATAATAATTAGTAAATAAAAAAAAGAGTCTGCTTAAATAGATAATTTAGATTCAGATAAATGAGCAAACTTACCCTGAACCTTTGTCAAAATGAAAATGCTTACCTTAATGCCCAGCTAGGCCAATTTTAGATCAGTCGACTCGGACAGGTATGTAGGATTCTAATGAATTTTCCAAATTACTACATTTATTTATTTACTTACTCGGTAATCTGATTGTTGATAGTGTCTACGAATCTCTTCGAACCTTTCTCCCATTCGTTGAGCAGTATTTCATCTCTAGAATAAAAGGCCTTGCGCCAAGCCTTTAAAGGTTCTGTATCACCGAAAATTTTTCGCAATAACTCATGAGATTGTAGAAATGTTTCGGGTTTGATCATTTTACCAATGTTATCACAAGATTTTATTAATTTTTTGCGCTTTTTATCGGCCTTTTTTATTAGAGAATTGTATTTTAAGAAAAATTCGTTGGAATAAATTTTATATTTAAAAAAAATCAGTATGTAAGAAGTATGATGTTTGTATAACTATTGCCAGTTTATAATGAAATAAACTGCCCGCATATATTCTCACAAATCAAAAAGTAAATTACATCTGACCAATATGTTAAAAGGTAAAAAAAATATTCAGAAAAAGAGCATTATTTATATTCGATTCATTAAACTATAAGAATAATATAGGGATTTTTCAATAAAAATCAAACTATACCTTTAAAATAATATAAGACTTTTTAGAAAAAAATAGGGATAAAATTTAAACCTTATCGGTTACGAGTAAATCTTTGATTCCCAAAGAAAAGCCGTTGATTTGAAGGTAAGAAGTAAATAATTTACCCAAGACTGTCAATATATCCGAAGCTATCTGGCCACCATACAACTCTTGGCAACAATGAATCTATACACAAAATATTAAACATAATATTAAATCAAAAATTATTATTAAATATTTTAATATGGAGATAAGAATCAATTTTAAATATTTTTGACTTTTGTTAATTCCAGCTAATTTTATTAAAATTGAATTCTCGGGATTCCGAAAATTAGGATCTTAAAGGAAACTGTAACAGAATGGAACAAATTATCTAATTAATTGAATGTTTAGGTTTATTTTAAAATATTTCAAAATACAAACCAATCCAAATGGAGAAGCTCCAAAATGAGATTTATCGAATATCCCTCTAATCCAATATCCATTTCTTACAAGAGCCCCATCTTCGGATAAATGATGTTTTGACAAGATGTCTAGGTGTATGGAGGTGAAATTTCTATCATCCATTTTGGAGGATTTTTTAGTACAATATAAATCTTCGGTAACCTTGCTTTTTTTGTTGTACATGTTAAAACATTTGGCCCGATCTGATCCAATAGAATTGAGCAAAACGGTGGAAATTATCTAATATTATACCAATAACATGAGATGATTAAAATTAACTTTTAAGTTAATAATAAAATAAAAATGCTGTATAAAAAAATTAAGGATTTAACAAATGTATTCCCAAAAAGGAACCATAATATTATAAAGCGAAATTTCAACTTGAAAATTGGATATTTCTTTAAAAAAACTTTGCCTTTTCATTATACCCCAACCATTATGAGCATGTTTATCTATAAATGTCTAAAAATCTATTGACGAGAGATATGATTTTGGAGATAATATGAGTATTAAATATCAACTTAGTTAATATTTGTCACCATATATGATGTATCTTTAAATTTTTAAACGGATTAATATTAGATATGTTCACTAAGATAGGATGAAATAAAAACTATAATTGTTCATATGAAAATCAATAGTGTACGACGCTATGCATCTGTAATCTAAATATCTTAATTATAAAACGATTTAAATTTTATTTAAAAAAAAGTAGTATAAATCATATTAAGACGCTCAAAAAAAATATATTAAGAATGATACTACCTGTTTTCCAGACCATAAAACTTTAGGTTTCAATATAGCTGGTTTGATGGTATATAAACGTTTTCCCAAACTTTCTGAAATCGTGTTTCCATTATAATTTCTTAATTTATATAATAATCATGGGTAAATTATAATTGATAAATAGAAAGTGGAGCTATGATTTGAAAACAAATTAATATTTTAATTAGTGATCTGCATAGGGCCTAATTTTTCAAGCCTGGCCCGGCTCAAACCTGATTTTTTTAAAAAAATTTTGCCGGCCCAGCCCAAATTTATTTAAATATAGAAATTAATTTTTATAATTACTCAAAATAAACGATATATGTTATTTGGCGTCTACTTTTTATAAATAAAATCACACATTTTTGATAACTCAAGCTGTAAACTTGAGTAAGACTTTTGCAGATCTCTAATTTTAATATAGTTCATTCACAAGATATAAATATCTCCAATAAAATGAAACTATACTACACTACAAAAAGGGGACCAAGATATTAAATTTATTAAAAGATAATTCAAGAAAAAAATTAACTTATATTATAAAATGTAACCTAGTAAAAATATTAGGAACTGCACGATCTCCAAAAGCTTTGTAAATCAGATCTTGGTAATCTCTTCTATCAAAAAATTTGCCTCTATTAGTCAGCAATACGCCTGCTATAAGGTGGTCTTGAATTAAGCCAGTGAGAGGTGTACCATCTTTCGATGTTAGATAATTGTGCTGACAGCTTTTTTAGATAGAGGAAAAATGGTAATTAAATTTGAATATCAAAAAAAATATATATGATGACCTTACCGTGTTAAGAAATAATTGTGAATCGAGTAAACTAAACTAAATCGAGAATATAAAATGCAAAAAGACCAATGAGATAACTTAACTATGAATTAAACTAAAGATTGACGTGACTAAACTGAGAACAATTGGTAATAGACTACCAACATAGAAATTACAAGACAATCGAGCTTGCAAATGGTAAATCGACTAAAACTTCAACAAACGCTTAAATTTAGAGTTTCGCAGAAATATATCAGGAATCAGGCAGGTTTTCAGCAGATAAACTAGTCCATGCACAAAAAATTATAATATCCAATTTATAAGATATATAATAATTTTTTATATCACTTTTGTATATTTAATATTTTGAACTGTTGTGCTAATTGGATACTGTTAACTATTTAATCCTGTGCTTTAGCCATCCCAGGACATGTAGTAAAATTAAAAAATAGTAACCTAAGTTTTAAAGGATATCTCTACGTTTTGAATATTTCTAACAGGATGATGATGCTATGATATTATTAGTTTAGCCTATATATTAAGATAAATTTTTTATAAGAAACAAGATAAATACATTGCATAGATTTAGTTCTTCTATACATTTAATTTGCAAATTAAATAAGCTACAATTAAAAGAATGAATTTAATTCGTAATAAATTTACAAAATATACAATCTTGTTTAATTATAAACAAATTTAAAAATAACAAAATTAAATTCAATATATATGTGTATATTTCGTTTGGAATATGGTAACATGTTTTCTTAATATCTTAAATTTGAATGTATATTTTATTAGGTTTAAATTGTTCATCGCGATGGTTACCTGAGATACTTTCTGATTTCATATGATTTTTTGATAGGTGCCTTTTGATTAGCAACACTTCTAATTTACTAAGCTACTGTCTCACCCTCAGAATTATATAAACTTCAATATTTTTTAGTTATATCATAGCAACGTTTTTCTCTTACTCTAAACTCAGGTACGTTTGTCAGATCCCTCTAGTAATTTAGTTTTTTTCTTTAATTGGAATTACGTAGTAGGAGTCTTATATAAATATTGTTTTATATTCTTTTCGATCGTTCCACTAACATATTAAAAAATTTCTAGATTCTATGCCTATTTTTTAAAAAATATAAAATTAGTGAATATAAAGTGTAGCATGGGAACGGAAGTTTCTTCTTAAACAATTGTAATTTTTAAACGATCAAATTAAGCCCTTTTATTTTAGGTTTTCATATAAAAATATACTGCGAAATTTATTATCTTACCACTTATTTTTGCTGTAGGCTATCTATAAACTTGAAAAATTGTCTTATATAAATACTTTGCATTTAACATTCAATCAATCACAATTATTTAGAAGTTTGTAACAAGGCAGTTATAATAATTTTAAGCATTAGGGTAGGGATCATATACATTAAAAAATAATTTTTTGTTAGATGATACTCCATAATTTATAAGTTTAACTATATATATATATACAATTAATATAATAAACCAACAATTCAAAAATTTTTTTAATAAACAAATTTTTATATAAATGGGCGGTAAAGCTATGGGTGGGAAGGGCCATTTTTTTAAAAACAATGAGTTAGAAATGTGCCTTAAGACCTATAATTGCTGTTTATCATCCTCACTTTACTAGTTTTGTATATTCTATCATTTATTTATAAAGAAAAGCAATAATTATCATTTACAAAAATTAAAATACCATAGATTTCGGTCAGCGCCAGATATCGAAACTAGTCACAGAGGTTTCCTTGTCTCCTCAAGATTTTTTTCGTCATGGTAATAGTTTATTTGGTGTCCCAATGACCTTTCTCGCCATGGAATACATATATATTTGGTGCCTTCATGAATTTCTCGTCATGAAATCCTTTTGTGCCTTCTTTACATTTCTCTCAATGTTACTTTCTTTTTGCAGATATATTTAAAGAAATCATCATTTAAATAACTGAATCAATTTCATAATCGCAATCCTGGACAATTACTCTTTTTATCTTTTAAAACACCTGTAATGGAAATTTAACAGCGATATAAATTTTTTTATTAGAAATGTTTGACATACTTTAATGATACATTGTGATATCTCAAAATTATTACTTTGTTGAAATATCTGACATATCGTCTTCCTGCATTATGATAATCTACGATTTTTACCATATTGTGTGTAGGGGCAAATTCAAAACATTAAGAGAATTTTCAATTGAAATATCTGATTTATAATTGGTAGCCAATAAATATATAGTGAGTTTATGCGAATCGACAATTTATAAGGACTTTTAGAATCCATAGAATATTTAACAAGATTGTCATTTGAAGTATTAAAATAATCTACGCTACTCAGTTTTAATATTCCATCATTATTATTTTTATTTGGATGAAGGATTTTAGATCATGGATAATCATATCTTGTGTCGATTTACCTGATATTATATCTTCAAAGTCCACTTTGTTAAGTGTAGATATGACTTTTAGGTAAATCGATAGCACTACTTTCTGATTTTGTAGGTATATTGCTTGCTATCTGTATCAATAGTGTTGTCTTTCACATATAAAAAAAGTAAAATAAATAATAGTGATAGGCTTTATAATAAGAGGATAAATACTAGTCCAAAGAATGACACAATTAATTGGCTCTTCAATTGGCAAACCCAAATCTCGTATATCCCTGCTATAAGGGTAGTTCTTAAATATGATTTCTGACCTAAAAGGATCATTTAAAGCAGTGCTAGTGGCGTAAAATTCTGCTAAGCCGTACCCTTACATTTAAAAGAGAATTTAATAAGTTCTCTGATGAGTTCTTAAAATTTAATAAATCACCATATAGAATATACATAGGGCTATAAAAACTGCAAATTTTTTTGTTTGATATTATTTCTAAGCGGCTTTAACCCAGCCATATATAATTTCAGCATCTCCAAATATGGCTATAGATATCGATAAAATAAGTTCCCATCGCCACTGTTAAGGGGTATATATCTTTCTAAAATATCATATCCATTCAAATATTTTAAAACTATAATATTTACTTTATCTTTATTACATCTTGATATTCATAATAAGGTAGGGTTTTACATGATAATGAATAAACTCATTGTTAGCTGTTGACTTAACAGGAAGATTTAAACACTATTGAATCATTTATTTTATAACAATATTTGCAAAAAATTGTCCCAAATCATATAAAATCCTAAAGGTGAATCTTCGACTTTTCATCCCAAATCATAGCTTATATATTAATGGCGAATAAATATTGTTTATGGCGAGAAACGTCATGAAAGCACCATATATATGTATTCTATGACGAGAAAGGTCATTGGAACACCAAATAAATACTCTAAATGGATAAAATGGTCATAAAAGAACAAAGAAATCACCGTGAATAGGTTCGATATCTGGCGCTAACTGATATTCATGATTATGGTAATTTAATTTTTGTAAATTAAAATTATTGCTTTTCTTTAAAATGATGGATTATACATAACCAATATGGATACATCTTTTCACTTTTAGCTTTAAGCTTTTTAAAAAATTTACCCGCCTACCCATTTATATAAAATTTTATTTATTAAAAAATTATTTGAATGGTTAGTTTATCTTTATATTTAAACTTATAATTATGGAATATCATCAAATAAAAAATTATTTTTTAATATATATGATACCTAATACCTAATTATTTTAAATGGTTGATACAGACCTCTAAATAATTGATTGGTTAGCAAAGTATTATTATCAAATATAATTTTTTAAGTTTATAGACATTTTGTAGTTATATATAGTCTACAGGAGACACAAGCGGTGAGACAATAAATCTTGAAGTATAGTTTTAATAAAAAAATAAAATATAAAAGCTTGATAAATCATTAAAAAAATTACAATGGTTTAAAAAGAAACGTTTGCCCATGCTACACATATTCACTAATTTTATACTTAAAAAAAAATATGGCAGAGGATCTAGACATTTATGAATATAATTATTTTTTAAGTTATAGAACGATCAAAAAAGAATTTAAGAAGATCTATATCCGAATAGAAACGTTACCTGAGCTTAGAATAAGACAAAAACGTTGCTATGGTATAACTCATTTTCCATATAAAAATTATACATAAATATTAAGTTATATTTAAAAAAACAATTCTAACATTTAAGAAAGACATTGCGGTAAATTACAATGACGCTAATCAAAGAAGGTACCTGTCGAAATATCGTATGAAATCAAAAAAGATTCCAAGCTTGATGATGATCAGAACAACGATGAACGAGTTAAAACAGATAAAATGTACATTCAAGTTTAAGACAAAGAAAAATATCCAAAATAAACACTAATATCTCACCTATATATTGTATTTAATTTTGTTATTTCTAAAGTTGTGATAATTAAACAAGATTGTATATTTTATAAATTTATTATGAATTAAATTTATTCTTTATTATATATATTTTCACATTGTAAAATAAAGTGTCTAACTAATGTGTTAAATTTTTTAAAATAGTATTTGAAAAATATAATGAATTAAGTTTATGAACTATCTTAATTTTATTTTTTATAAAATAATCGTGATATAATGTATATTAAATGTAGGTAAGAACGAAATCTATTCAATGCATTTTTCTTGTTTTCAATAAAAAATTTATAAATCATAGACTAAACTAACAAAATAATATGATTAAAAAAAGTCGAGATATCCTTTAAATTTGACAATTTTTTAATTTTAATACATATCCGGGGAAGAATGACTAAAAACAGGGTGAAATAGTTAATATGATACAATTAGCAAAACAGTTTAAAATATTAAATTTAAAGTGACATAAAAAATTTACATATCATTTTTTAGATTAGATGATAGGTTAGCTTATTCTGCTGCTCTTTAGTATACCTTTGATTTATAGTTTTCTATACAATATTACAAAAAAACCTGCTCGATTCCTGATATATTTCTACGAAACTATAAATTTAAATGTTTGTTGGAGTTTTGCTTGGTTCGTAGATTTGCTATAAAATTTCCATTTGATCAATTAGATTCACATTTACAAGCTTGATTAGCAATTTTATTAAATTGCTAATTCATATGGTGGATTTTCAGTTTGGTCACGTCAATTTCTAGTTTATTTCGTTTATTGATAGTTAGTTTAGTTATCTCAATTTACTCTCACCTTCAGTCTCATCTTGGCGGGGGAGTGGCAACGTTTTGGCGGCTAATGGAGGTCTATAAGGTTACCCGTGATCTGGGTCTAGAATAGGATCACCGTCTCCTCGACGGGGTGTAAAAACCACTTAAAGAGGTTGATGTCAGGAAGGGCATCCGATTGTAAAAATCTTGCTACAAATTTTCCCTATGGTTATAACAAAGCATGGGTGGGGTACAGCCCCCGTGGGCCTCCTCATCAGCCTACGATAAAAAGAAAGATGGAAAATCTGGTGGAACCACGATTCATGAAAATGAAACTTATGACGGCCATAAACGACCTGATAATAGGTAGAGAAATCATTTTATGGGGGATCGAGTAAGGGCACTACATGGAATGTTGGGAGTATGTCGGGAAGAGCGGGAGAAGTGGTCGATTATCGCATAGAAGGCATATAGATGTGTGCTGCATACAGGAGATCAGATGGAAAGGAAATGGCGCAAGAATGATTGGCAAGATTAGTGAAAAGTATATTCTTTTGGCAAGGAAGTAATGATGGTAAGGCTGGAGTTGGGGTATTGGTTGCAGAAAAATTGGTAGACAAAGTAGTCGAAGTGAGAAGGCTAGATAACCAGATAATGGTTATCAAAATGATTTTTGGTAGAAAGCTATATAATATTATCTCGGCATATGTTCCTCAGGTGGAAGAAGTGAAAGATATATTTTGGGACAGTCTGAGGGGATTATCCTGGCTGGTGCTCTGAATGGACATGTAGGAGCGAGTAGTGTTATGAAGGGGTACATGAAAGGTACAGTTACGGGAGGAATCTGGAAGGGGAGAGGATTTTAGATTTTGTGATGCTATGGATATGATTGTCTGTAATACAATGTTTAAGAAAGAATCAGAGAAGCTAGTGACTTATAAGTGTTGTAATATGTTAATTTACTTTGAAATAAAATCGAGAAAAAGGAAGTAATATTCAAATCGACTTTTAAACAGAAAAACGAAACGAATTATTATATTATTTGAGTACAGACGATGTAAATAAATGTATATATAATCGAGGATATTTTACTTAAAAAAATATATTATGAATTTGCGAACATAATTTTTAATCTTTTAATTTTAATTTTTGTTACATTATTTTATTTTGCTGTTTTATTTTTGATTTATTTAATTACATTTTATATTAATTAATAAAGTATTAGTAGTTTATTTATTTATGCTATTTATTTGTATTCTCTAAATTCTCATTAATAACAATAAGTCGGATAGTACCAAAAGTGCGGTGGATTATTTGTTATTAAGGAGATGTATAGTAAAAAATGTGAAAGTGATACCGGGAGAGGAATGTATAAATCAGCATCGACTAAGAGATCTTACTTTTAAAGGTGCCAGGATCACTAAAAGAAAGTTTGTGCCAAGACTGAAGGTCTGGAAATTGAAGGAGGAGAGTGCAACGTCAATTCAATATGACATTGGCGATAAAGGAGGTTGAGGTGGCACAAGCATTTGGGCTAAATGACAACTGGGAAGCCATGAAGAAAGCCTGGGTGATGACAACTGAGGTAATATGTGGATAGACAAAAGGGTCGCCTGGACATAAGGAGACTTGGTGGTGGAACCCTAGATAGCGAAAGCTGTGGATGAGAAACGCAGGTGCTTTAAAGAATGATATAATAGTAAAGATAATAGTGGTAACGATATTTACAAGATGGCGAAAAGAAATGCTAAGAAATTAATAGCGAAGGCGTAAGAAGAAAAAAAGCAGGAGTTTGCTAAAGAAATGGAATGCTTTGAAGGAATGGGAAATGTGGTTCGAATGGCAAAGCAGATGGCAAAAAAGAGGCAAGGTTTGAAAAATATGGAAGGAAAAATGGTGATTGATAGTAATAATATTAAGAACACCTGAAAGATCTGCATGGAAGGACTTTTGAACGAAGAAAATGAATGGGATAATAATGTTAGTTGTGTAAAGGTAGAAGGTCCAGGGTGTAAATTTGGCAAGGATGAAATAAAGAGAGCAGTGAAAAAAATGAAAAAAGGGAAGGCATCGGGTTTAACGATGGTGGTATCAGAGATGTTTAAAGGTTCTGATGACTTGGGGATTGAATGGTTAATGAATTTGGCAAATCAAATTGTCAAGGAACTATTCCCGAGGACTGGTGAAGAAGTATAATTATCCCAGTATACACGGGTTTGATTATCCTTTAGATTGCGGATCTTACAGAGCTATTAAACTCTTGGAACATGCAATGAAGGTATTTGAGAGGGTGTTAGAGAAGCGGATAAGGGAACAAACTAAAATTGATGAAATGCAGTTTGGTTTTACATCGGGGAAATATACAACATATGCCATTTTTGTGATGAGACAAATACAGGAGAAGTATCTTGCGAAGGACAAGAAACTGTATAAAGCGTTTGTTGACTTGGAGAAAGCATTTGACAGGGTGCCGCGTGAGGTTACCAGACAGGTGTGGAGGAATGATTGGTTATAGCAGTGATGGCAATTGGGAGCATAAACAGCAGTACGGACGGATTATGGTGATAGTGAAAGCTTTGAAGTGAAGGTAGGACTTCATCAAGGATCCGTGCTGAGTCCTTATTATTTGTCTTAGTAATGGATGTGGTGGCTAGAGAAATACGTAAAGGACTTCCCTGGGAGCTATTATATGCAGATGACCTTGTATTAATGGCAAACAGTGAGGAAGAATTGAGGGATAAAATTAGTATGAAATGAATATAGCAAAAACAAAGGTGATGATTGGTAGGAAAAATCTAAAGATGGAGTAATCCGGTGCCTTGTGGTGTATGTGGGAAAGGAGTTGCTAGAAATTCAATCCAATGCACCAGATGCCATAAATGGGTAGATAATAGATGTAGCGGGAAAAAAGGAAGTTTGAGTTATCAAGAATGACTTTTATTTGTATATCGTGCATGAAAGGGGTACATAATAGTGATAACGTAGAAAATGGTAGTTTGGATATTGGCAATGGGTTAACCCTAGAAAAAGTGGGTAAGTTTTGTAATTTGGGTGATATGCTAAACGCAGATGGTGTAGATTCTGACGTTGCAAGGGTCAGACAAGCATGAAAGAAGTTCAGAGAGACGTCTATTCTAACAAATAAATAAGTCTCTCTGAAGTTAAAGGGGAAAGTTTACGTAAGCTGTGTAAGGAGTTGTTTAGTTTATGGCGAAGAAACACGGGCAATGAAAACGACTCATGAAGCCAAATTAGAAAGAGCAGAGATGAGAATGATTAAATGGATGTGTGGGGTTTCTCTGAGAGAGAGAAAAACTAAGGAATTGCGAGCAAGATTGGGCATAAAAATGATTGGAGTGGTAAAGCGACGAAATAGACTAAGATGGTTTAGGCATGTGGAACGTATGACAAAAGATGACTGGGTAAAGAGATGCACCTTGATGGAAGTAGGAGGATTAAGACCTAGAGGAAGGCCCAAGATGACGTGGACAAATGTGATAGCGGCTAGTATAAGAAGCATGAATCTTACAAATATTGATGCTCAGGACCGTCAGAACTGGAAAAGTGGGTAAACCTGGAAATCGCCATAAAACGGAGAAGTTATCTCAATTTACTGTTTACATGGTCTATTCGTATATTATATTCTCGTTTGCAGTTTAGCAATTTTAATTTTCATTAATTTACTCGATTCACAGTTAAGTCATATTAATTTGCTCGATTCGTAAATTACATTAATTTGCGCGATTTACAGTTTAGTCACTTTAATTACCTGTCGATTCTTAATTTTCCACAATTCGTAGTTTACTTATGCGATATATAAATTAAAAATAATAAAATATGTTATATTACCAAGTATTAAAGAATTGTAATTAAGAATTAAATCTATGCGCCAAATATTTCACATAAAAGTGGAATTTGAGAAATTTGTAATTTAAATAAAATACACTTAGTAAATAAAATCTAAAGCAATCAAAAAAATTTTAATTAAAAAACCCGGCAAGATAGTGTCCCTCGGCTACACCCAAATAATCTTGGGGGAAATGGGCGTTCATTTCGTCCCCATCAAAATCCGCGTTGTAAGCTTTGCAATGAGCGTAATGTAACCTGAGAGTCCTTTGAGCCGGTAAAATTTTGGCCTTGCATAATATGAATAAAAACATTTTTATTTCAAATAGAATATTCTAGAACCCATAAATTGATTCAACCCAGAATCCGATTCCATCAAACTCGAATATGTCGGAAGACATTTTCTCAGACTTGGTAGGATTCAGAACCTGACAAAAATTTAATTATTTTGCTGATATTTTTATGAATATTATCTCCAAGAATAAGCACGAAAATCGCTTATTATCCTTAAATTCGACTTCGTTGAAATATTGCACCTTTCTATCAGCCAAATAATAAAAAAATTCGGATTGGATCAGGATTCCCAATTCTGAAAGAAAGAAAGATAGGTAAAATTTAGTACCAGCTATGAAAAAAAAATTCTATGATCGAATCAGTCGGAAAACCGCTGATCAGGTAGGACTTAGAAATAAACGACCGATGCAGAGCTGGCTCTACAATATTTTATAATTTGTTTTTGTTACTAAAAAAATGTGTTGAAAAATTATTTGATCCTCAACTGGGTAGAATGTATTACATAATATGTAAATAATAGTTTACACAACATTAGAAATCATAAACATGTTTAAAATAAAAATCATAAATCAGACCTTATGTGCCATGATACTAGGTTTATGAAGCGTAGGTTGTCTGTTGAGTAACAATAAATCGCCATCCATCAAATGCCTATTGACAACCACTATTCTGCTCGAATCGTTCAAGGCCTCCATGATACAACTATCATCAATAGCGGTTATTATTGCCGAGGAGGTTAATTTGCGCGCTAGATTAAGCCTTTGGGAAACGTTCTTGGGATCTATGAATAAGACATTACCCCGGGCATTTTTGACAGTGAAAGCGCTATTTTAAGTCAAAGATGAATCAATAAAGTTATGACTATGATGATTAAAAAAACTTTAAAAATTAATTCCTAAATGATTTTTTAGGTTAGCTAGATGTCATGGGTGTTTTATAAATTCGTTCTCTTGTAAAATTTTAAAAATATAATGATACAAAACCCTATAATAATCATCATAAACATGATTTTTTAAGACATTTTTTAATTTTAATTGTTTTCTAATATAAACTTAGGAAGTAATAAAAATAGTACCCTGGATAAATATCGGGACCGTTAATGATAGCGCGTCTCAATCTTTCTAAATTAAAAGCGTTCACGGGTTCTGGAAAAGTTAATTTGCAAGCGAACACTAATGGAATACCTATCTGATCTAAATCTATAAATGGATCAGGAGAAATGACGGAACGGGCGGCAAAATCTACCCTTTTCCCCATCATATGTTTCCTGAAGAGGCCCTCCTTCTTTTCTAATATCTTTTGAAGGATATCAAAATATGTAAAAAAAAAATGATGTTGCTAAAAATTTAATATGAATTTTATAGTTTATATTCAAAATATTTCTTTTTGAATGGGTAGTTTTGATATACAATCAATGAAACGTTTTGTGAAATTAATATAAAAACCTCAAAGAGATGACAGGTATATATAAGACAAAATTTAAAAATATAAGCTAATCTAAACCAACAAACATCTTTTAGTCAACTTTTTGAGATTTAGATAATAAAATAAGCATAGATTTAGAAATTATTGATTAAACATTGCAGCCATAATTTTAACCACTAAATCATTCTAGAGCTCTATAATAAAATATTTAGTCCAGGTCCGAATTTTTTATTCATTTTTAGACCCGACTTGAGACTAAGCTTGGTTCGAAAATTTTAATCAAAAAATGTGAATTAAGTTTTGAAAAATTTACTAACTAATTGCTTTGGCTTAGTCATTGAGATTATTTAAATTATAATTCAATTTATATAAAAGATGTGAAATTATGTTTTAAGTTACCAGCTTCTATTTAGCTTCTAAACTTCTAAATAACAATCCCCTGCCATCCCCAAAAAACTTAAATGATTCTTATAGTCTACAAAATTGTCTTTTGTCAACTTGATAACCAAAAACCATGGGCTTGGAGTCATGCATCTAGAGCCTACATGTTTTCAAATTAAATAAAATTTAATCAAATGATTGATTAATTTGGTAGTATTTTGTTTCAATTAACATTATATATAATATGATTTTATTTCAGTTGTAAAATCTAGAAACTAAATACTTTTTATGTTTTTATTCCATGGAATATAAGAATTTTTTTTTAAAAAAAAATTTTTTATAATTATAAACCAAAGAAATTTTGAAAAAACATTTTTCTAAAACTGCCTTAGTTATTCGCCTCCCATCTTCTGTTCTATTTTATTTTTCCTGTGTGTATCATTTTTAATTGTGAAAATTCAATCCAAAAAAGAAATGGAAATATAAATTAATTCAAGCTTCTAAACCAATATTAATTACTAACCTAAACCTTCTATTCATTCATTAAAATGTATTAAAAATTGTATATACATTGAAGTTAGCCATTAAAAGGCATTTAAACGAAATTCCGCTTGGGCATCTGTTTCCAATGACATGAATCACAGCTAACTTCAATGTAGGCACACTTTTAATAAATGAATCATCGGTCTAGGTTAGTATTAATGCCATTGTTTAAACCAGACCAATATTATAAGGTGATCTTGCGGTTTGCCCAGGGCTATAGGATGAAAATGCATTTATCGATAGAGCTCAATATTTAAAAAGTTCAATAACTTGCTTGATGGAAGTCAATTTTTCTCGCGGAAAAAGGGACGGGTCATTTTCCAGTAGCAAATTAACACAAGATTGCATATATCTCCACACAGTCACGTGCGCGGGTAATTTAACGCCAGAAATGGTCGAAGGCTTATTAGAATTTTTGCGAAATTTCGCTGACGATTTGGAGTATCGAAGAGCTTTGTCAACTTTTTCGTTTTGCAAAGCATCCATACTAGTGTTAGGGGGGTTAATTATAAAAAATAATTAATATTCTCTCGTTGATCAAAGTAAAAAGAAATGTGAAAAGGTGAAGCATAAATATAAATAGTTGGACTATAACTCTCCTTCTTGTTAAGGAAAAATAGCAAGGCCCGGATTAATTTATTTTGAATAATTTTTATGCCCCTAACCATATTTTTTTTAAAAAATCGTCATTTTGAAAATTTTGGCTCTATTTAGGTAAATTGTTTCAAAGGAAATTGAAAATATGATTAAATGAATACTAAAACGATAAATTATATGATTTTCTAAATGATTGATCGATATAATTTAAATTCATTTTTATAAAAATCGCCTAGCCCGAGTTTTGCAAAAAGGTTCCATTTTTAGGCTCAATCTAGGATTGTTACATTTTTTATTATAAAGCCTGGCCCAGCTCGGACTTAATTTCGCCCAATCTCCGGCTGGACCTTTCTTCCGAGCTTGCAAATCTTTAATGTATATAGTTTAAAATGTTTTTGATTCATGTTAGAAGGTTTCTCTGAGAGTTTAGAACCTGAGAAAAAAACAAGTTTTTAGTTCGTTTGCTAAAATTTTTAAAAGTGTGTTCTTGTTTTTAATTTTAATGTGGTTCCGAGAGTTCCAGATACTTTTAGATAAATGGGCGACAGGGTGAATTAAAGAAACCATGGGTGGGCGGGCTAAAAAATTTCTAAACGAGTACTTGTAATTATAGTTACTTACTCTAAATGATTGACAAAATTTAACATATTTTGCAAAAGCAAATTTATATATGGTTATTTACTTAATTTGTAATTTCTTCATGTTTTATAATAAAATAAAGATGTTCAAATCATTTTTTTTATTTTTAAGTTTTTAAACAATTTTTATCATTATTTTGGGTCAATAAAATATATTAGACTTTTTATTTGTCGATCATTTCTTCAAAACAAACAATTTTAGTGATTCGTGATAATTTATGAAGGCTAAATTTACCCAATTCAAAGTTTCACAAAAATTTGGAAAATTCTGACTTGACTCATAAAAGTATTTTACGTAAGTTGTTCAATTTGGCTTGAAAATCTTTTAGCCAAGATAGGCTTTTAGGTCAAACTGGTCTATAATCATGTAAATACAAAAACTAGAACCCAAAAATCCATTCTAAAAATTATTTGGATCCAAAACTTTTTAAAAATATTCAAAATTAGAATATATTATAAGTATAGGTTCCGTATCCAAATATACTTCTTATCTAGTAGTGCTAATATGATGACAGTAATGTTTTTTAAAATAAAATTTTATAAAATCGTTCTCATGTGAAATCGATTAATCCAAATCATAATATTTAATATACAAATTATTAATGCTAAACCAATAAAAATACATTATTTTTATTTCAGTTAAAATAAAAACTTGTTAGTGGATGCATCAATTTTCATAATTTCAGATAATAACTGACATGCAGCCAAAATTTTGACGTATATTAGGGTTTGGCCTGTCACATATTTGGAATCACCAAGGGAGTTTATCTTTTTTTTAATGAAAAGATATAATTTATACTGATGGAGGTAATAGTAATAAATAAATTTTATTTTACATAAATGTTCAAACCAAAAATGCCTTTATCTATTTTGGGTATGATAACTTTTTGACCAGACCTTTTTAATTTTGATAAAAACTTGTATACTGAGAGAACATCATAAAGTATTGATTACAAAATTTTAGCCTCCTAGTACTATAGTATTTGAGATATCAATGGTCAAAAGAATAGTTGGGTAATGGCTAAATGTGACTAATTAAGCTCAATATACAATCGCGTTTCGGAGAAAATCCGTTAATATTAAGGCGTTTTAATTTATATTAGTTTCTTTCAAAATTGAGCTGCTATATTTTTAAGAAAAACCCCGAGACCAAAATAATAGTTTTCGGCTAAAAACTCGGTTTAGACAGTTTGTTAAATTTGAAACATATTTGAGAGGTAAAAGAGAAGATAAGAAATGTGACGGTGAAAGTAAATAATGTTGATTTTCAGGATGGTGAGTTATAACAACTATATAATAATAATTATAAACTAATCTAATTTAGATATTATTAATTTTTTTTTACTTTTATCAAATAACTAAACATTTTAGACTGCTTATTTGATTTGTGTAATATTTTGTTATAAACAATTGATTAATCCTCAGAAAAGGGTTAATTAAAACATATTTATCATAATATAATTTAAAAACTAGCCTTCAGAAAAAGGATGAGGGAGAGTTTTAAAAATGTTAACTTTTGGGATATACTAAACAAATGCCACAAAACTAATAATCAAGATTATTTTAAATTAAGGGTATTAATGAATATATAAATTTGGCTAATGCATCAGGACACCCAATTGGGAAATAACAGTAGTAAAATTTAAAAATAATAAAACAACCATTATTTCATTAGTTTAAAAAATAAAATTTTAAATTTGGATTACAGTTCTTTCATTTTAAAAAATGAATGATTTTCTTTCCGACTCATTGATATCCACTAGTACAATTTTTCTTAAACAGTTTGCACATAACATCGAATTTTTGATTAAGAGTAGGCTCATTATTTGACAAAATATCAAATTAGCTCATGACTTATCAATATTTTTTCAATAATTTCTGATCGAATCTCCTGAAGCATTAACTTTTAATTACAAAGAAATATTGCACTAATGTAAAAAAAATTATGATTTATGATATTTACAAATCTAAATCTATAACAACTTCTCTAATTAAAATATTAGTATTTGGGTTAAATCGGAATTAAAATCTAAAAAATCACAAATTTTGTTAACCCTATAAATTATCAACAGCAACTTATATATAAAATCTTATTATTTATGTTTAAAAATGGTAAAAATTTAAAAAATAGAATATTAACAAAAAGTTCTTTTATATAGAAATTTTTTTAAAATTGCAATATCTAAAAAAACCCATGGCTGCAAGTTTAAATTTTATTTTGCAAGTAGATATAATTTAAGTGAAAAAATTTAATACAAAGAAATTTGGAAGGCAAAAAACCTGAAGCTTTCAGATTCAAAACTAATGTAAATAAAAACTACAATATTATTTTTTTATAAGAATCCTTAATATTTACTAAAAGGCCTTTAATAGATTTACATATAATTTCTATTTTTGCCTCATTAGTTTATCTCAATTAAAAAAATCGTATTTTTTGAAAAAGGTCATTTTTGGCATTTTGATCATTGATATCTCAGGAACTATTAGTACTAGGAGGCTAAAATTTTGATTTGATGCTTTCTAATGATGTTCTCTCAGCATGGAAAATTTTATCAAAATGAAAAAGTAAGGCTAAAAAGTTATCGATTTGGTATGGAATTCCAATTGGGATCACGATTCGGCTGACCCACTTCAAGGTTTTAAAAATTTGGTAAGCCTCCTAACATTAGATATTCGGGTTCAAAGTGTCAAAAATAACGTATAACCGCCATTATCTGCCTTCATTCAACTAAGCATATCTTAAAATTTACATAATTATAACAAATTTGATAAAGTATAAAAATTATACTAGATAAATTTTTTGATTTTCCGGCCATTTTATTTAATATATATGAATTAAAAACGATTTTTGGGAAATGATACAACTATCAATTTTTATATAAAATTCAGTAGACATTTGAGAACTGCGGGCCTAATATTTTTATAAAAATATCGGGCTGGGTCAGGTCGGACCTTGGAATTTTTTTTAAATATATCTAAATTTATCAATTTTATATTGAATTTTTTATGTAAAATAAAAATTTTTGATTTTATTTATTGAAACAAAACACCACATAACATATGTCTTATATTTTGAGTAATTATAAAAATTAATTTCTATATTTAATTTTTTCAAAAATTTTCAGGTTCGGGCCGGGCCGGCAAAAGTTTTTTAAAAAAATTTAGAGTTCGGGCAGGGCCGGCAAAATCATTTTAAAAATAATTTCGGGCCGGGCCGGGCTTGAAAAATTAGGCCCGATGCAGATCACTACTAGACATTACTAAATTCTTCTTTTATAAAAACGGTTTGGAACGCGGTCAGCTTTATCCTAGAAAAATGATTAAAAAGTGTATAAATATATATTATTCAGTGACGTTTTTTTTAAGGAATTTGATATAATTTAAAAGAATATCCATCTTATAAATGAGACTAACAATCAACGAGGTCAATCAATTAATTACATCATTTATAATTTAAAATATTTACCCATATAACATATATTTAATGAATATTAATAAAATATGTACAATATGTTTAGAGTTTTTCAAAATATGAATCAGAATCTTGTGTATTTCATATACACCTATTCCCGAGATACAGAGTCTCAAAATGCGTAAAATTGCGAGTTTCGCAGGCTGTAAAAATTTTAAATTGCTTATATCTCAAAAACTATTTAAGGTAAAAATAATAAATTATCATTTTGTAGATTAAAAATCTCTAAAGGTTTACTGAAAGAGAAAGGAGTCCTTAACTTCCGGTATATCTTTACCGTATACCATGTGACGCTATCGGCTCTTCCAGAATATGCATTTTTTTACCAATATTGAAATTTTACTTGTATAAAATAGATGGCGATATATAAAATTATGGAGCATGGATAAAATTTTATTGCCAACTTACTAATAAGAGGATATTTTTTTCATACTACGAATTTTCGGCTTACCTCATAAAATTGTTATATAGTGGAATTATTTAAATCGTTAAATAAGATAGCCATTTATTTTAACTATAGCGCACGCCTGATTCCCGAGAAACAGATCCTCAAATGTGGGAAAAATGAAGGTTTTCGCACTTGTAAAATTTTTAAATTATATATTAAAAACCATATAAGGCATGAATTCTATGAAATGAATTTAAATGAAGGAATAATATATTGTTAAGGCAAATTTTTCTGAATTATGCCTTTGTCGTTCATGATCGAGTACAAGGATTTTTGTGACTTATTACAAGGCATTTAATAATAAGGATGTGCCGATATTAAATATCGGGTCGGCACCAATATTGAGCGTTTTCTAAATATCGGATCGAGCCGATATATGTCAAACCGATCCGAGCTAACTATCCGATCTTTTTACTTTTTTTGTTATTTTATGTTATGTATATTTATTTTACATTAATAATATTTTCTAAATAATTTTTTTTTAAACAATGCAATTAGAACACCCATTAAATTTTATTTATTTTTTTAAAATAGACTTATAGTATTTTAAAAGTTTTTTTATAAAAATAGAAAGGACCCAAAGTTTTATTTATTTTAAATATTTTTAAATAATAACGTCAATTTTATTATTTATACTTTAAATAAAAGAATTTTTTAAATATGATATCTGAATTATGGAAATATTTTTTAAGAAAATCTAATATATTATAATTTTATATATTAAATATTACAATTTTTAAATTCATACCAACATTTTAATTATAGTAGAAATAAAAAAATTAAATTAAATGCATATTTCGACTTTTCGCACAAAAAATATTGATTTCTTAATTACATTTGGTTCAAAGGGGGGTGGTGAAAAATCAATATATCGGATCGATTTTGAACCAATATCGGATAGGATCGGTGAAAAATATGTGGATCGGCACAGTTATACTTAATGATTTAAATCATTTAAGTTATGTAATTTTGGAATCTCATTCATAATACAATTGCCGTTGATTTATTCCAAAAATATTTAGTCCACTATTTATCAAATTTCTTAAGATAAAATTGAAACTGAATTTTATTCAATTCAATAGAATCGCAAATAATAAATAATCAATGGTGGATGACCTTTTTAGAAAAAAATTTAGTAAACAGGTGTTAGTTAGTTTTTTGCATCCTGAAGGACCTTCAAACTCTTATATATATCCTTCCCCGATAGATAAATTGTGGATACAGATTGGATACAGATAGTACAAGTTTTAGATGTGGCCAATCTTTCAACTGCTACCCTAACGAACATTTTACATAAAGATGAGACAATTAAATTATTCATCTTATAGTTATTGCTTAAATATATAATTATTTATATCTCTAACTTTATTTTGTTTCAAATATATTTTAAATAATGTAATGAATTTGATTATCTTCTATGTCATTAAATAAATATGAATAATAAAAAAATTGAAAGAAAGAGATTTATGATTGGAAACTTGATATGTTATTAAAATTTTAAGGGGCATTTGCCACCACTGCCTATCAGTTTAATTAATACATTTAATAGAGATTCAAAATATTTTAGTATAAAAAGTGAAAACCTGTTATTAGTAAGTTAGCGACAAAATTTTAGCAATAATCCGTAATTTCGTATAGCGCGATTTATTTTATGCAAATAAAAATTTAAATTTTTGTTAAAAATGTATATTAAGGAAGAGCCAATAACGTCGCTAGAATCTTCACCTATTTATAAAAGGTGCCTAAATAAAAGGCAACAATCTTTTTTTTAAACCAACTCCTCTAATTCTTTGATACACATGTAAAGACTCATACCGGAAGTTAAGGACTCAAATTTGAGCCATTTTTTTTCGATAGACCTTTAAATCTTTTTATACCTAAATGATGAATTTATTTTATTTCTACCTAAATAATTTTTTATATAAGAAATTTTAAATTTTATAGGCGCAAAAATCGCTATTTTTCGCACCTTTGAGACCCTGTATCTTGGAATCAGGTGAGCTAGCGAGCTAAAAACTGCTTTATCATTTTTTTTTACCGATTTTAAATAATTCCAACAATTCAATGTTAAAAGAGGCCGGCCGAATCATGATCGACTTGGCATGAAATACCCGAATTTTTTTTATTGATTGAAACTTCCACTGATTGTTATTTTCCCTTATAGGAAGAATAAGCCTTTAAATTATATCAAATGTTAAAATAACGATTAAAATCGGAATAATATGTAATTTTAAACAAAGACGCCCCCGTTAGGGAAAAGATTAAACATCTTTCTAATATTTTTTCCCGATTAAAGATGAAGCTGGTCGCGTCACTGACTGATTTTTTTTTATAAATATAAAAGAAGAGTTAATGTCAGAGACCTGCAGAGGTACCATTTGTCGGATTTTTTTTTCAAAAATTTTTTACGGCCTGGCCAGGATTTAAAAATTTTATTATGACCGGCTCGGATTTTTTTTTCAAAAATTTTTTACGGCCTGGCCAGGATTTAAAAATTTTATTATGACCGGCTCGGAATTTTTTAAAATTATATTCGACCTGGTATATACAAAAAATTCATCTATTTGGTATTTTATCATATTTTTCGGCGAGTATTATCATTTAATAAGCAAGCATATTAACTAATATTGTTAAACGGCTCGTTTTGAGCCGATTTTTTAAAACGGTGAACTCAATATTTTCGCGAGAAAAATATTGACAAAGCCTCGAAATTTATATACTATAATGTCTAGACCTTTGCTCCTTCATGAGCAAAATTTTTAGGTTTGCATAATATTTTTCTGGATCAAAAACTGAGTTTTTTTAAAAATCGGTTCAAAACGAGCTGTTTAACAACATATATTTTTTTTATTTTTATTCTAAACAGATATTTAGTATATTACAAATTGATACTATAAAAAATGTGTAAATAATATTTAGAGAATATACTATATTAATTGTATTTATAAAAATATTAAAACTGATATTAATTAATAAAAAAAATATAACATATATTATATAATATTGTATTTAATCCTTTGCATATTTATTCCATGGCAGGAAAACTATAATTATATTGTGTAATAGATACTATGAGTGTTAGCTAGTGTTAACTATCACCAAACATTATATTAATCATAACTATATATAATCATTATAACCATATCTAATTGACGAATATAATAATTCATGTTGTATAAAATTTTAAAAAAAATACCGCCTGGCCCGTCATTTAAAAAAAATTTTCAGACTCGGCCTGGCCCGTGTAAATTTTAAAAACGGCCGGCCCTGGTACCCGGACCTGGCCTGCAGGTCTCAGGTTAATGTAAACTAAATTTTTTATAAAAATTGAAGGTGGTATTATTTCCAAAAAATTATTTTTAATTCTTTTATATTAAATAAAATGGCCAGAAATTTGAAAAATAAAAAAACATTTCTTTTTATCTTGAAGAATAATCTTTGTACATATTAATGTATTAAATTCAGGGATCCAAACCGAACCGAACCGTTAAACCGCTAAAAACCTGTATTTTTTATCGAATCTAAACCAAACCGCTAAAATGACTCTGAACCGGTTCAAGTCTCATAATATTATGCTTATAAAATAATGTTTAAGTTATTACTAGTAGTATATTGCAAATATTTTAATTATAATCAAATTGTTTTAAAAATTATTATCAATCACATTTGATTGATAAACGTCAGTCATAATTTTTATAAACTTTAGTGTATTGCCATTTTGCAATATTTTTTAAATATTTTAAGCTTATAAATTATAATGGAAAAAATTAAATCTAATATAAATTATTTACATATAGTATTATAAATGACACATCAAATCTGATATCATACTGGCAATGCCAGCTACCCAAGTTAGTGTGGAAGGATGTTTTTCAACAATTAAATTTATATTATCTCCTTATAGATGTAATTTGAGTGAGACAAATTTTGAAAATATATTAATTGTGTAGCTTAATATAAAAAATTTAAGTAATTATTCATATTTAAATTAATCATTGATATATTTATTTTTATATTTATAAATTAAATATTATTTTATAATGTGCAATTAATAAAAATGATGGTTTTTATTTTAATTATGAAATAAAAAAAATTTTTTCCTGATACATAATCCTAATGTAGGTTTGAATACAAATGTGTTCAAACCAGTTTTTAGAGGTTCGAACCAAACCGATATTTTTATTTTTTGCGAACCGAACCTTAACCTTAAACCATTATTTTTATCCAAACCTGAACCGAACCGATATTCGTTTCGATTTGGATCCCTGATTAAATTTGTAATTTACAATCATGTATTTTTTAAGATATGTTTAATTGAAAGAAGACAGATAATGGTAAAAATATGCCATTCTTGCCACTTTGAAACCCTAATAAAAATATAAGTGTTAGCTAAAATTTTATCCATTTCTTAGCTACATTAACCTTTCTTTAATTACCAAATTTTAAAAAAATCGAAGAGGATAAACCAAAAATGTCATTTTTTTGCTCATTTAATATAGAATGATTCCCTTTCCCTTCCTTCTAATCTGCACCCTCCTTATTCTTATTATATCTATAACACTAAAAATATTAAAATTATTAATTAACAAATGTATTACAGGTCTAAATTTAGATGGTATGACTGGCAGTGTCTTAATAAAAAACATCCTTGCAATATCTTCATAGTAATGTGGGCATAAATTATTGTGTTGGAAACTTTTCAATTTAATGCAACCAAAAATGATGGAAAGTGTATTCAAGTTTTGCTCATTTTCCAAAAGTTTAATCAATAAACGATTGGCTTCTAAAGGTGTTAATTCTTGTTCCCCTTTAATTTGGGGATCAACAAACATTAAAGGGTTTTCATTGTTATTATCATAATTGTTTATTAATTCATTGGGTTGATTTAGCATAAGGTTGTGTATGCCAGCATCTTTACGTTTATGAATGAAGGATAATAAAATTTTGCTACCCTCTTTAAGTCTCCAAGAGGGTAGTTTGGAGTGACAATGTGTGCAAGATTTAAATGATGACCCAAGATGATATTTTTTAATATAATCGTATAGAAGTGAACTTTTCAACTCATTAGTATTTTTAGTCAGATTAACATAATTTTTATTGTTAGCAAGTATGCTTTGTAAATAAGTATTCTCTTTTACATAATTTTCTAATTCGTCAAAATTTTCTAATCCCATATTATTAATATCTTTATCATTAGGCTTCAAAATAATATCCTTAATATTTTTAACACAGGAATCCATGCCTTGATCAATTAAATGTGTCTGGATTCTAATAAGAAATGATTGAATAGATGGAGCTAGAAGTTTATAGCAAAATAGACAGGATCCTCTTAAAATCTATTAATAAATGTTTTATATATTAAATCTATAATACTATTTTATGATGTATTGGCAAATTATATAAAATTTGTCTTTAAAAGGCAAATAAGGATAAATATTTAATATATTAATTTCTTTTTAACTAAATTTATTTTAATTGATTCAATTTAATAAAAAAAAAACTTACAGTATATAAAACTTTGATAAGGCTAGGATTATATATAATTAATGGTAATTCTATATGACCAATATGACCAGGACAGCTATAATAATTTAATCCACAAGTTATACATATATCCTTGTAATCAACTGGGCCTAAAATATAATAATTATTGAGTTTAAAAAGGTACATTTAATATTACCCATGGCCAAATCGTGCAAACCCCTAGGCGTTGGTTTTAAATCTCTATCAATAGCTTTTGGGTTAATTATTTCAACAACCGATATTTTCTTAATTTCGTCATCTTTAAAAGAATTAAAGGTAACTTTAGAAATGTATTTCATTTGAATATCACACATTTATGATGAAGGATTATAGGCCCATTTTATTAGAATATAAATAAAGTGATTGTAAATTATACATGTCACTTGTAAAAAAAAATGACAAGAAACTAGTGTTGTTAAACGGCTCGATTTGAGCTCATTTTTAAAAATGGCTAACTCAATATTTTATTCAGAAAAAATATTATGCAAGCCTAAAGATTTTGCTCATCGATGACACAAAGGTTTGGACATCTATTAATGAAATCTCGAGGCCTAGGCAATATATTTCTGTCTAAAATATTGAGTTAGCCTTTTTAAACAACACTACAAGAAACAACATCAATATTTTTGTTAGAACTACATCAAAATGGTCATATCCTTTGAAGTATCAATTAAGTTTAAAATGTTCTGTGAATAAAAATTAGATAAAATTATAAAGTAGTTAAAAAAATAATTAAATATGTCGTCAAGTTAACACGTTTTTGTAGGGCTGTCAAATTTTGATAGTTAATGATTAGATCCACCTCACCTCTTCCAATAATTTTATCAATTTGACTTTGTTATAAAGTAAAAATGTATATTTTTATAAGTTATTTGCTAGATATACCCTTACTTCAATAATCCGCCTTTGTAAACATTCCCATTAAATTTAAGAATATACAAAAACAAAAGGGCTACACCCACCACCCTCCCGGTATGATTCTCAATTATTTTAATGTAATACATGATTTAAGCGTATAAGCTCTCTGTATCGTAAATAAAATAGAGCTACGCTAGGTATTTAATATTTCCATCAAACTAGATATAAAAAAAACTGAGAAATATTATTTGAGGATTTGTCTAAACATTTGCAGGCAGGCGCATGTAACCTGCATGCATATAGTCCGAGAACTATTATTAAACGTCTGTAGGCTGATTATAAAGGGATTCGACCAAATCCTGATATTTAAATTAGTTTATGGGAGCTGATTTTAATTTAAAATTATAAATTTTTATGTGAGGAGTAATCACATAATTCAGTGCATAGCTTATAATTTTCCTTAGAAAGGGAGCCATATCTATAGAGGCCTGGAGGATTTTACTTCTAGTTAACGAACCTTCCGTTTTTTTGCCCTTATTTTTGTCTATATATTAAATTCTTAACGATAATATAATGATCAATTTTAATTAAAATAATACAAAATTTATTTGAAATTCATAATATTTATTAGATTATAAAATTATTATACTTTCTAATTATTTTAAGATAAATATAATGAATTCTTACAATTATTAAAAAGGGAGGTAGGAGATGTTTTCACTTGTGCTAGGAAAATATATTGAATTCTTACCAAAGTAAATATATAGGTAGTTTTAAACATCCTCTATTTTTTTATTTAAAGACTTCGAATATAAAGTGCTGTAAACATTTCCAAAAATATCAAAAGCTTTAACGTCCAACGTTCATGGACTAAAATTGAACGCGTTCAGGTTGAAACCTTCAAAAAAAGGATCTCGTTCACGTTCGTTCAAAACTTAATGAATAGATTTTTTTAAACTTCATTTAATATTTATTTAATTTGATATAAATAAATACCATATATTTTTTAGCACAATAGACTATCCATATTTAAAATTACTAGTTTTGAGTGAATAAAAACATATTTTTAATTATTAAAAAAAAATATTATTTTTAATATATAAAAACTTTTATATACCCTAAAGAATTAAATTATTTATAAAATATAAAAATTTATAATACTCTAAATTGTCAACTATTAAAATATATCACCCTTGATAAAAACAAATTTTAAATAATCACATAAAAATAAATAAATACTAGTGCTGTGAAATAACGTCAAAAAAGGAACGCCATTCGTTACCTCCTTAGAGGTAACGAGTAACGCGTTTCTTTTTTTGAGTAACGGTAACGCAAAAGGTTACTCGTTAAAAAACATATTGTATTATAAAATTACTTTTATTTATTTTTTAATTCTTAAATATAAATAATTTAGAGTTTTAATTCATATAAACCACTTCCTTCATTTTTATTTTAAATTCTCGTTGTTAAATTTTCTGTCGAAATTAATATTCAATCAAAATTCAAAGTAAATGTTAATAATGACATTATTATTCTTATAATTTATTTTAAGAATATTATGTCCATAGTACTTACTTCTTCAGATGAAGATGATTTAACCCTTCCCTGGCCCTAATTTGAAATATATTTTAAACCAATAAAGAAAATTATGGTACCAAGTCTACACTTTGTAAATGTAAATTATATCCCAACACAAATATTTCAACCTCAATGTCCAGCAGTTCAAACTTAAAAAAACATTTTAAGGTATAAGATAAATTAATATATCATTATTCATTACTTTAATAATAAAATAATATTCTTTCATAATATTTTGAAAGCTTAATCATGGAAATAAAATATAAGTAGGGCTGTATCGATATTAAATATCGGATGGTATCAACACCGATATTTAGCGTTTTCCTAAAAGGGCCGATACCTGCAAAAAACCGATACGATCTTTTTAATTTTCTTTTTTTGTTATTTTATTTTATGTTAGGTATATTTATTTTACATTATTATAATATTTTCTAAATAATTTTTTTTTAAACAATGCAAATGCACAACACCCTCTAAATTTTATTATATTTTAAAATATATTTACAGTATTTGAAAAGTTTTTTTTGTAAAAATAGAAAAGAACTCCCAAAGTTTTAATTATTTTAAATCTTTTTAAATAATAACGCCAATTTTATTATTTATAATTTAAATAAAAGAATATTTTTAAATATGGTATATGAATTATGGAAATATTTTACAAAAGACAAAGATAATTTTGCAAAATGCGTTATCTGCGGAATCATCTGAGTTTGCCTTCAGTACGGCAAGGGATATAGATACTCCATATTGTAGAAGCTTATTACCAGAAAATCTAGAGGCTTTAGTATTTATTAAAAAAAATCTAATATATTATAATTTTATATATTAAATACAATTTTATTTTTCATACCAACTTAAAATGGATATATTATCAAATATATGTTTTTTAAATTATAGTCTTAAATGTAGAAATAAAAAAAAAATTAAATTAAATGCATAATGTTGATATTTTGCATAAAAAATATTGATTTCATAATTACATTTGGTTCAAAGGGGGGTGGTGAAAAATCAATATAAATATCGGATCGGTGAAATATGTGGATAGGCACAGCCCTAAATATAAGCAATTAAATTATACTACAGTATTGGGCTAGGAACCAACATTAAAAACCCAAGATTAACAAAATATTGGTTTTGGTTTGGTTCAAAGTATTATATTGAGTTTTTTTATCTTCTATTTCTTGTTTTAGTATTGCTATTGGTTTGACTATAATTGTTAATAAATTTAAAGAATAAAAAATATTGATTTTAAAAAACTTCGTTTAAATAATATATATATGAAATAGTGGTGTAGCCAGGATTTATCCAATAACAAAATTTTACAGAGAATTTCATTATAGATTTAATGTATTATAAAATAATATTAACATCCCATTATTTAACCAGCTGTGTTGAGCACCAAGCGCTCTTGTTTGTCTGATCAAAATTTTGAAATCAATTGTTGCTAAAAATAAATAAAAAATTGTTACATAAAGAAAGATGTTATCTTTTGTATAATTTTTTTTATAAAATGATCTTATATATATTCTTTTTGTAGTTTTATTTTATTATATATTGTTAAAAAAAAAATAAATATTATTTTTGTATATATTTAATTTTTTTAAGTAACGAGTAGCCCGTTACCTTGAAAAGTCGGTAACGCGCTTTCCTTTTTTGAAAAAGTAACGAGTAAGGGTAAAGCGTTCCTTTTTTCAGATGTAACAAGTAACGGTAACGCGTTTTTTTTATGGTAACGCTTACAGCACTAATAAATACTCAAAGATATTAACTATATATATCTATGTATATCAGGCGCGTATACGCAGGAATTTGGTCTGGGATGGGGATAATAAATTTTATAAGAAATATTATTGTTTTTTAAAAATATCAAGCTTAAATTTATTAGGACTAGTAACTATTTCTAATACACAATTTTAAATTAATGTGAATTATAAAAAAATTATATGTAAAGAATCACTTAAATGACCCAAAATAGAATTTTGGATTTTTTGAGCCTTTACACAAAAAGTTTCTTAGGAATAATTGCATTTTGTATGTTATACATTTACAATGTAAAATCCAATCTTCGTTGTGATTGAGCTAATTTTTCAATTATCTTATCCTTGCTTGTCGTCAAATGCCTATGAATATTCGAAAGATCCAAACTTCTCAATCTACTTTCAGATGTTGTACTTCTTGGTATGTTTTTTCAGAGACCTTCAGGCCCGGCCTCCGGGCCGGAGAGTATTTTAATTTTTTAAAATATACCCGGGCCGGGCCTGAATTTTTAAAAAAAAACACCCAAGCCGGGCCTGAATTATTTTTAAAAAAACACCCAGGCCGGGCTGTATTTTTTAAAACATATTTGAAATCGTTATTATTAGCTATAAAAATCAAAAATAAATATAATTTGATTTAAAAAAAGCCGGGCCGGGCCTGAAAATTTTATAAAAAAAGCCGAGCTGGGCCTAAAAATTTTTTTAAAAAAAGCCCAGGCCGAGCCTTAAAAAATCTTTAAAAAAATCCAGGCCGTGCCCTGCAAATGGTACTTCTGAAGGCCTCTGTTATTCTTCTTAAAAAAGAGAATGTTCTCCCATTAGTTTACTAATGGGAAGAGTTTATAGCCTTTTAATACATTGGGAATTTCATTTAAAATGTGTTTGAAATAATGCAGAACATCCATAGCATTTTTTGGGACTATATCAACCATAGTTAATCTTATAAACATATTTATCCAGCTATTAAGGCATCATAAGATACTTTAACATCTTCATAATAAAAATCTAACAAATATTTTTTTTTCTATCACCATCTGAAAAAGGTTGGGAAGGCTTTTATGAAAGT